CATTTTTAAGAAATAAAGAAATTGTTTATTCAGCTGAAGCCATACTTCAATTTCTGGGGGGGCAAGAAGCACTACCAGTGCAAGTTTATGTTCAGCAGAATTGAAGAAACAGTAAAGCACTCAAAAACAAAGCAGCTGAAGAAAAGAACATCAAATTAATAATTTATGCTCAGAAATTGAGCTACAAGTTCAAATAAGTTAAGAAACTATATCGGCAGCCGCCCACAAGCGGAAAATAACAGCTGCCGAAATACGTACAGAAGCAAAAAAATAAACTGTTTTGTACGACAAGGCAAGCTGAAGCAAAAAACAAACAAGGCAAAAAATTCAGAAAACGGCAAGTCTAAAGTTGAGCGCATGATGAACCGCAAGATTCTGAAGACGACTGCCCGAGTTCCTATGCTTCAGCCCGAGGATCAGACTGGTCAGCATTGTTGGGCCTCATGGTGGTCTCAGCCCCAGCAGCAGAAGAAGCAGGCTTTGCACTCTGCCGAGCCTCCCTTTCCCTCTGTTCAGCCTCCAACTCCATTCTCTCAGCTTCTTCTTCGGCTTCCTCAGCCTTAAGGATTTCAGCTTCGACTGGAGTTGCATACTTCATATGAGGGTCTTCGAGATTCTGGACCCATTCAGCACATTTGGACCAGTCCAACTTCGGCTCAGCATGAACCCGTTTCTGAAACCCATTTCATATTCTTCCTGGGTATAGACACGGACTTTGAGTAGAGCCTCAGCATCAGCCAACTTCTTCTGGGTCTCCTCCAAGTCTTCCTTGGATTTCTTCAGCTCATCGGCGAGCTTGAAGGAGGAACCTTTTAGCTCATTCAGCTGCTGCTGAACTTGGGAAGCCTCTGTCTGGGCCTGGGCCACTTCTTCCTTTTTGGCCATCAGCTGATCCTCAGCTTCTTGGAGCTTAGCTCTCTGAGCTTCAGCGGCAGCAGCAGTCTCTGAGAGTTGGACATCCCTGGCTTGGAGCATCTCTTCAGCAGTCATTCTGCTGGCTTCAAGAGCTTCTAGCCGTTGCTGCACTTCAGCTTGTGCAGCAGCTCCTTCCTGGATTCGGCTCTCAATGGTAGCCTTGAATTTGGAGATGTCCACTCCCATGTGCTCTTGGAGGAATTTTTCCCCTTCCATCAGTGGGGGAAAAACTTCCTTCTCCATAGCGTCGCAGAAGGTTTTGAAGGCTTCAGCAGCTTTTTTCTCGTATTCCTCACCCTTCTGCTGCTTCTCTTCAGCTGCTGCTTGCTTCAGCTTAGCAAGCTTTAACTCCTCTTCGGCTACCTTTTTGTCGTGCTCGGCAGCGTCTACCCTATCTTGTAGGGTATCTATCAGCTCAACAGTGAAAGTCTGATTGTGCACAAACTGAAACAGGAGCACAAGTTAAAATAAAAAATAGAGCTGAATTTTAGAGGAGATAAAGGCAAGGAAAATCACCTGCATCATCAGCAGTTGGTTAGACCTGGCTGGGTCAGGAACTGATCTGCTGGATTCGCCCATCCCAGCAGTGGCCTTCAGCGACCAGATTCTTGCCCTATCTACTTCGGACCTGCATCATCGCCGAAGTAGGCTGCAGCACCTTCTCGGTTCTGACCCCATATGAGGTCCCAGATGTGATCTGGGATTGGAATTCGGGGGGCCGAGAAACCCATTTCTCCAGATTGCAGAGTCTGGAAGGAAGGAAAGGATGACGATGGAGCTTCTTTAACTTTGGATGGCTCAGCATCCTCCTTCTCAGAAGAGTCAATTATTATGACCTCTTCTTCTTCAGGGGTGAGGACGAAAGCCTCAACCTCTCTTGCAATGTCTGCCGTGAAGCCCTCAGCACTGGACATCACGGCATCCTTGTTTTCGTGCTCAGCAGCACTCTCCTTAATTTCTTCTTGGACCGCTCCCTTAGGTTCGGGAGTTTTCTGATCCACCTCCATCTCGGGAGGTGGCAGAGGGGTCTTTGGAGGTGATTGAGGTGGTGGCCGGGGAACCCTCGGCGATCCATTGCCTTCCTCGGGATCCCTTATTTCGACGTCGATGGTCATCGGCCTCCGCTGAAAGTCATGGGGGCCGATGATGGCCATTCTTCGGCGCCTTTTCTGAAGCGGCTGCTCGTCCATGTCTGAGTCTGAGGACTCTTCTTGTATCTGGTCTTCGAGACGAATAGGGGCTTTCCCTTCTCTGTGTCTATTACTCTCTTCAGACTGTAAAAGACAAGGGGGGAGGAAGAATGTGAGTAAAAACAAAACAACAAACAGAAACAGACAAAATTAAGTCTGAAAGCTCACCGAGGTCTTCAGCAAAGCCTCGTCTTCTTCAGCTGCCCTAGCTGCAGCTTCTTCTTCAGCAGCCCTGGAGGACCCTTCTCCTCCTTCACGAGCTTCAATAACCCGTGCAACCTCTTCGGCCGTACGGGCAGCTTCAGCTTATTCGTCCAGCAGCTGAAACCAGGGATCTCTCTTCTTCCACAAAGGCTTCTGCCTTTGATACAGAGCAACAGCCTCAATTTGGAAGTGGGAAGAGTCTAGATGAACTTCTCTATGCCGTGGTTCAGTGATAGAGGGGGCCCGATCAGTTACAACTCGTTCTCGGTTGACGCCAAGACGAGCGTAGTTAATGCCGACGTTGGTCTCGTCCCGCTCTGAAAAAGAAAAGGGGAAAGGTCACTTCAGTCAGGTTGGCACAGCATAAAAAAACGAAGTGAGGGGAGAAAAAGAGATAATTTAAAAGCCTCGGCCCCAGCCGAAGAAGCTTACCATCCTTAAACTTTCGGCTGAGGCCGACAGCTGCTAGCATGTTCTCTTGGAAAACATAATGCGTATCGGGGAGCCAAGTCTCCGGGATATGCTGCATTCGGCCGCTGCCCCCCCGGTTCGGCAGCTTGCCGAAGATATTCTGTTGATTAAGGTTTGGATCTGGGCCGTTATCTGCGGGGGGACCTAAACTTCCCATGTCGGGATCAGGCTCAGCAAGGTACCGGGGAGCGCTGAAGACGCAAGGGTGGCCCGGGTCCGTGGGTGCCCTAACCCAAATCCATTGACCTTTCCAGTCCTTGTCTGAAGAGTCGTTCGGCCACATGGTTAGGTACTGGGGCCGAGACTCAATCCGGTACCACCCAGAACCATGACTTCCGTGCCCACTTTGAATATTTGGCACTAGCCGATGAAGCTTTTTGAAGCAGTGCAGGTTCGGCACATACCTGAAGAACTTGCAGACCCATAATTATGTCATCACCCTTCGGATGCTAGTAGGAGTTAGCTGACATAGGGAAATATTGTAATGGATCAACAAGTCTCGGACGAATACGTCCAAAGGGAACCTCAGCCCATACTGAAGTTGTCTTGTGTACACCCCCACATACCCCGGGGGTGGACGATGGATTCTATCGGATGCCACGAGCATTCGGCACCAATACCCATCAGCTTCAAGGATGTCGTAATGCAACTCAATTTGTTCGGCAAACCGATACTGTTCGGCATTCTCCATCCACCATGAGTAGGGGCGGTTCTTTATCATGGCCGAAGCTACTTCGGCATCCTCCCACTCTGAAAACCCGGGAAGGATATCCCAAAGGACAGCGGGAACTTCATCGTCCCGCCCAGAAGCGCTCGGCCCCTCCGTTCTCTGAGGAGGAGCCGAGGAAACTGGAGTCGCCCTGATCCCTTCAGCAGGGTCAGACTCTGCTCTTCGTCCATTCCAGGTCCCAATCCTGTTCCTGGGATCGGGAATTGGCCTTGCTCTTCTTGGAGCACGGGCTCTACCCCTAACTCCTCTCGCCATTGATAATTTCGAAGAAAAAAGTCGAAAAAAAAAGAAGGAGTTCAAATTCGAAGAAAAATAAACTAAAATCAAAGGAATTTACCTTAATCTGAAGCGAAAGTTGCCGATTTACGAATTGGTAGTGGCAAGTCTCAGTTTCTAAGCTTAATGCTCGGGGAGTTTGCGAAGTTTTGATGCGGGTTCTTGGGTTCTCTCGAAAATTCTGGGTTTGTGTTGGTGAATAAGTGAGGAGAGATGACGCGCCTCTGATTATATCTCCAGAAATGGGAATACGGGGAGTCCGCGTTTCAATTTCTCTTAAATACCCCACTAAGTAACCGTTAAACACACGACCTTGCGATTAAACTGCCCATTATCCGTCCAACTTCCACAATTATCCGCCTTAACTGTTGTTATCTCATTAGTTACGGTTTAATTACGGTTTAAATTCAAATTTTTGGATTAATTAAATCATTCACTTCCCTCCTTTTCTGATTAAATCAAACCCGACCTGTCATCCTTCCAAATCGGGTCTGGGGGGCAAGTTGTTTGGGTCCAATTTAGTCCAATTGGGCTTAGGCATTAAATGATCCAATTAAAAGCCCAAGGTCAAGGTTCATCTATCCAATTGTGCTAAAGTCAAAGATCAGTCCTCAAGGCAAGCCAATTGGGCTAAGGCCCATGTATGCAGAGGTATAAAAGCCATCAATATTACATTTGTATATTCATTCAAAAAAAGCCTCAAGCAATTAATTCTCTTGCATAGTGTTCTCTTTCTACGCACTGAACTGACTTTAGCATCGGAGGGGCCTTCCTCGGCAACACTCCCGAGGCTAGTTTACGTGTGTTTACTGTGCAGGAAACCTTCGGCCCAACATTACTTGGATCGAATCTAGTCTTCTCCACTTCATCGGACCTTCGACAAGGTTCCATTGTTTTCACCCGAAACACAACCTAAATTAATTTAACCCAAAGTTTTTATGCCCCACAAATTCCAAGGCACCTTATTGATTGCAATACGAAGTCTTCATTTCAATGCAATATAAAAACCACAACCAAACAATGTAGCATTCAAAATCCAACCAAGCACCATTATATCTCACAAAACTAAAGGTACCCTTCACCTTGTTTTAAATTCTGATTAATTATGACAAAAGTTACTAATCAATTTTCAAAATCTGACAATTTCTGACATTATTGTCACATATATCTAAATTAAAGATAATAAATTTACAGAGGAATTTAATTGAAGGAGATAATCATGATTATGATATTTTCCCATCTCATAAACAGATCTAAATTAGTTTAGTTAGTAATTACATCATGGGTTAACATATAACCCCAAATATTACTACTTAAAAGGATCCCTAATAATTATTAATAATATTCTTCATTCCCTTCTAAAATCCTAAAAATTCTTTATATCCCATTTTTTTCTCTCTACAAACCCACATAAAATTTAATTTTAATTAATTTATTTTAATTATTTTTAAGCTAAGAGCCAGAAATTCTTCTGCCACCTGGTGCTAATGAGGTAACCACCCATTCCTTTGCTCTGCTTTCTGACTCCAATTGTCAAGCATTCGGCATTGTTAATGCATTGCTCCACAAAATCCTCTGAATTGCTCATTCCAAACAAACTGCCCAAAAAATCAAAAATTAAAATCATGACAAATACAATAATTAAAATTGATTCTAAATTATCTGATTAAATTCTGATTAGGTAGATCTAATAAATATTAAAACAAAAAATTAATTAAATTTCTTAGAAAAAAATTGGACTCACCAAGTCATTATTGGGGAGGGCTTCTTCTGGCCTAGCACTAGCACTGATGCTTCTAGCTTCTTCACTTGGCTCAATACTGTTGATAGCTTAGGACCTTGTATCACTAGTGCTTCTACTTCCACCTGAAAATAGTATACCAAACTCCAATAATTACAAGCAAATCTAATATATTTAGCATGTAATTATGAACTACTAGCCGGGATTAATCCAAAGCCTACTAATTCCGACTTATTAGCCATTAATCCAAAATTTATTACTCTGCCTAACCCAAATTTGAACTAAGAGCTACCAAAGCTTATTGGACTTTGATTAATTTGAATTTAAGTTCAGGGCATATCCAACCTAGGAAGAATTTCTCTCAAAGATTTTACTCATTTACACATTTGAATTTATCATACATTGATGCTTAACTATTAAAGATTACTTGGAAAAAATCCAATAACAAAATGACAGCCCATTATTAAATAAAAATTTCTTGCTTAAGTCACTTTCCACTATTTCATAATCAAAGATGACTACAAGTTTACAAAGTGATAAAACAAAAAGTAGTATATTCCTAGATTTCGTTACATGCATAATAAAGATCCCATCTTTACCTCATTTTTTACAAAAACCTTAACTCAACTTTCTTCATAAACCTTTATAAATCACCATTTTCGCCCATTTAAATGTAGCAATATATTTTTAAACTTTCAAAACAAAAGATCCCAACTTTACTCTGTTTTCTCTGATAATTAATGAAGAAGAAGAAGATACCTCAGGTTTGCAAGCTTTGCAAAGAGAGCCAAGAGAGCTAGCAAGAGTAGAAGCAGAAGAGTGAGAATCAGAGTCAGAAATAATATGAAGCAGAGTAAGCCAATCACCCTTATTAGTAACATGAGTTAATGCCCACATCATAGCATGTTTAGATCTAGAAGTTTCATCAACAACCACCATTACCCTTTTCTGTGCCATCATTCCTCCATTGTTACTACCTCCATATTCATTTGCATACATACTGTTTATCCCATTCATCTGTTTCCAACAAGAACCCATATCATTTTCACCTCCATAAGAGTATCTTCCATGGCTGTTTCGGCCTCCATAGCTTGCCCATCTCTTAGATGTGGATTTCCATCCTTCTTTTGCGCTTAATTGCCTCAAGATTGAACCTGGGGTTGGCATTTTGAGGGGAGCAGGTAAGGTGTTCGATGAAATGCCTGAGTGAAGAAAAATGGGGAGAAGAAGGGTTTTATGAATATAGAAGAGAAATGGGTTAATGGGTTTTGCTGGGAAAGTTAGAAATGGGGGTTTAGGAGAGAGAAAGAAGGGTAAATGGGGTTGCAGACTTGCAGGTGGTATTATAATGAGACAAGCACTGAATGAAGTGAGGGAAAGTGAAGAAGACAAAATAGTGAACGGATGGATGAGTGTGAATTGTGATGAGATGTGATGGACGTATGGATGTGATTACAGGAGGAGAGAGAAAGAGTGAGTTTGACGGAATCAATTAGGATGGCAATGAATTAATTACAAATATAAGCATATCCCAAGATTACTTAATTAATCATGTCATAAAGGAAAGAATAGGTGTAAATTTTTATTCTGGATGTCAACTAGCTTATAAATAATTGAAGTTTTATGATCGGTTTTAATATGTTACGCTATTTATATAGTGTAAATCGACAAAAAAGGAAAAAAAAAATGGTGATGTAGAATGTGGCACATTAGCCTCTTAAACATCTTTTTATAGATAAGATTCAACAATAAGTTTTGTTGTCACTTACTTTAACCCTCTATAAATCTACAATACTTTTAATGAATCTAATCACATGACTCAAAAAAGGAATCATCAAATTTTGCTTCTCTTCTAACCTTGATATTGAGTTAAAAGACATGGAACTACAAATTTATATACCCTTACCTCAAAATTGATCCATAAGCGTCTCTAGTGCTTGTTATTATTTTGAGGTATAAAATGTGCATTGCTCTCTCATTTCATTTAATAAAGTTCAAATCCTTTGGATTGCTCTCTCTTTTCGTTTAGTAAAATGTATTGAAAATCTCAATCTTAACCCACCACTTTCAAGTTATTTCCAAACAACTCATTAAATCAATTCAATTTCAATTGAAGAGCAAAGCCTGATCACTTGAGTAGACCTGATCAATTAATAGACTGAGTTGCGTTTTAGTCCTAAAATTTATACTACGTAGTTAAACATGCTACATTAGTTCAAACTTTCAGCTCAATTTCGAGATAATTAAAACTTTAAGTTAAAAACGCATTCTTTAAATAGTTCAAAACTCGAACTTTTTTTTTCCCGCCTAGTCAATAATGATCAACTCTCTACCCGAGCTACCACCCACACCAAATCATCTTAATTAACAAAGGATCTTCATTAATTGGGAGAATTAACATTAATTAAAAAAAAAAAAAATAGGGATAGGAATATGACGAGGTTGGGGAAGTAAGGTCGTGGGATGAATGATAATGGTACACTTTATGGGTAGTTAAAGGCTCACGAGAATCACTTTCTAGCACCAGATCTAGCAAAAAGCATCACTATACTTTTTTAGTCTTCTGTTTTTATCATCATTGTTATTGAAATTATACTGTGTTTTTTTCTACTCCTATTCAGTTTTCTTTGCTACTACCAGAGAGATTCCATCTTTTTTAAAAAAAAAAAATTCTTGTAGCTCTGCTTCTCTCTTTTTCAGTTTTATATTCCCTACCTTTTCCTTAATCTTTGTTTTCATTTTCCGTATTAACGTACTAGCTTTAAATCCACACAATGTAAGCACATAATTATATATATGCAATATAGGCTCACTGGGTAAGTTTCTTACTTCAAATTCTAGAGGTTTAGAGTTCGAATTTTACCAAATGAGGGTGTTTGGGGTAGTGATTTCTTTACCCTTCTCTCTACTCCCGAGTATCTAGCCCGTAAATATTAAAAGGTCGTATAGAGTATAGGCTAATGTGTATAGATAATTATTAATGTAACAACAAATATAGAACCTATCACAATTGATCACTCAAATTTGTCACTCCATCATCTATTCTTTCCCCCCTCTTTACAAGTATAGAACCTATCACTATTGATTAAACAAATTGGTCGCTCCATCACCCTATCCTTCACCTTCCCTTAGCATTTTGATCCCTTTCCTCACCACCATGGCATCAAATACGCTTAGCCGACAAGGCAACTCAACACCATCAGTTCGCGGCAACTACCAGCAACGGCCAGTCATCGGCAGGATATCAAAGTAAAGGAATTTGCCCTTCCTTCACATAAGATTATAGAGTGCTTGTTTAGAAACAACAAAGTACTCGTATTATTGTAGGTTATAGTATCCTTCTAATCATTAGACAAATTAATTACAAGATCATAAATAATTAGACAAAAAGCCAACTGTAACCGTGTGCTATGACTACTAAACGAATCATTTAATTAAAATAACAAGATCCTAATCTTAATAGATCCATAAATAGGTACATTAATTAATTACATGATAATCTAAATCAAAAAATGTCATAAATAAATTAATCTATGATTCTCAAACTGAAATAAATGAACGTGGGTTGACAATTACGTAGCATGTACGTTGCCAAAAAGGGTATAATATTTATAATCCAAATAAACGTATTTATGTCGTATTTGATGTAATTAACACAACAATTTGTAACTGGGTTTTATATGTTATTTAGTATCATCTCTTTCAAATGACCCCCGTGAACATTAACATATTGCATGAATTGCCCTCTTTATCAAGTTGTATAAATCCTTAAAACGTGAATTTAACTAGGAAAGAGGGACACCTCTATATCTTGGACATAACACGCTAAATGAAGCGGACCAACTAACTAGAGATTTATTTGCCTAAAGTAGCATAGGGATATTTATTACTCCAAACTTTAATTTATGTGTATGTGGTGTCGAGAGTTATTGGTTGTTAGTGACAGATTCAGTAGTGTAACTAAATTTTTTGGATTACGATGTGTCAATGTTTAATCTATTATGTACTTGTCCTTGTGATGATGATTATTATTATTATTACGCTTTTTATTCACTTGATCATTACTAGTATAAATTTAACTGAACTTATATGAATTTATTTATTTGAGTTAATCAAAACTGATTTAAACCTATTACGAGTATAGTTGTAAACTTGAACTTAAATATCTCTTATTAACTCCATATTATATATACAAGTAATAATTTAGGGAAAAACCTTTGTCAAATTCCCTATGTAAATATGAAATGATAATATGATATTTATTACAAAGTTTTGAAAAAGTTTGTACATAGTAAATTTCTGTGAGGTAGTCTCCCTACTTCACCATTATTGTCTCTTCATTCCACTCCTTCCAATTGATGTATCCATATTCCATATTTTAAGTACTTCTATTTATAGATATACATACCTTTCATGAGTTGCATCTTTCAAATAATGTCCTTCAATGTAGATTGATTCTAAGTTACTGGTACAAGTATAAAAATCAAGGGATTATTTGAAGTCTTTTCTTAATAAGGAAAGTTATACATGACCAATCTATAACCTTTATTCTCAATACATATATGATCAAATCAAATCAAATAAAAGTTAAGTTAGAATTGGTAAAATTAAGTCGTGCAAAGAAGAGGAGAATATGTCAAGATTTTTCTTGATATAAGGAGTATATATTACTTCCTCCGTTTATTTTATCTGTAACACTTTTATTTTCATGGTCTTCTAGTTAGATAATTTTTGAAGAGGAGAGAGATAAAGAGAAAAATAAGAGGGACTCATGTGGGTAGGAGAGAGAGAGAGGAAAAAAAAAATGTCAAAAATGAAAAGTATTATAAGTAATTAACAATTTTCAAAATAGAAAAGCGTAGCAACTAAAAAGAAACGGAGGAAATATATCCCTCAGTTTTGAAATGACCCTAGAATGCCAAATATCAAACTTTCTTAAATGAAGTTGATTCCCACGGACAAAAGTAAGGGCACACGGCACGTCTTCATAAAATAAGGACTTTAAAGAGTATAGTTAAGTATTGTACACTCAATCGATGTCTCTGATTTTTGGTCACTTGATAAGTTCTTCTTCTTAAATTAATTGCAAATTAATTATGTCCACCAGGTAATTAAGATTGTGGAATATTAGCACAATGATACCTCTGTTCAAACAGGCTGAAATGATGTGTATAGTATATTAGAGTAGATTATACTCCTTGGTCGTCCCGTGAAGTTGGACATAACGAAGTACTGAGTAGTTGTAATAGTACGTACTTTAACCTATTACTCGTATTTGCAATACAGAGAGCTACTGAATTAGCATTTCTCACATGTCAAGTAGTGGGGGAGATAAGAAAACTCCTACTCCCAAACATATGTAATTGGTGAACCTCGAACTTGTGACCCCAAAATTATAAGGTGAGTTCCTCACTATCTCTACCAATTAAGTAAGTTTGATTAAACATGAGAGAGTTAGATTATAAAAGTGTTTAGATAAAATCTAACTTGTCTGGACGTATAATTGTATGTTGTATGTACTTATTGTACTTTTATTTATTTGAATTGTTATAAATGTAATTTTATTTGAATTGTTATAATGTAGGGTTTTTTCTTAATTTGATTGAAACTTATTTAAATTTAAATATTACACTTTGTATGAATTAAGATAAAATAAGGTTGGTAATATCTCTCCAATTGTGGTTATTGCAAATACTTATTGTTTACCATTAATCGGGGTATTATCCCATTTTACCCGTATAAACAATTGTGGTAGGAATGACTCCTAATACATGTGCACAAAGTACAAACGACAAAACAAACAAAAGGCAGCTAGGTGCAAAAATTAATTTACTGTTGTACAACAAGTTAACATTAAAGTGTACTTAATATTTAATGACAAGATTCATGCATGTTTATGATAGTTAAACATTTACGATAAACGGAGTATTATAGTACGAAAAGCTAATAACACAAATTTTACCAACTTAATGGTGCATTATGTTTCCAAATGTACAATCCTGTGAATTGAATAATACTGAAAGTACTATCTGCATTTTATTTTTAGTTAAAGGGTGGGAATGTGACAATTTAATCAAGATAAGGGTGCAATAAATATTTTAATTTGTAGTGAATGCAACAGATAATGTATGACTTAGATTAAATGGTCTAAATTTTAATTCAAGGTCGATGAGAACTAGAGGATCCAACTTTGATAGATTGTTCTCTTAAACATATAACGCAAAAGTAATTTTCAAAATTTCCAGAAATGTTTGATCAATTATTGAGAGGAAAATATGTCAATTAATCTGACTAATAGAAAATATTAGTACAAGTATAAATAATCAATACTCTCTCCGTCCCTTATCTACATGCCTATTTCCCATTTTTCACGGAAATTAAGGAATTTAAATATTCCTTAAAACCCATGATTGGGAAGTATAAATATGAATGTGGGGTTAGAAAGAGATAGAGAGAAAGGAAATGTAGTTGGTAAATATTGAAAAGATAGAAAGAGAAAGTGTTGGAAAATGATGTCAAAAGAAAATTGATGACAACTCATCAAAAAGAGGGAATATTGTCAAAAAGTACATTCTTTAAATTAAAATAGACATGTAGTTTTGAAACCCCAAAAAAAAAAGTAGGCATGTAGATAAGGGACGGAGGGAGTATTTTATTTTACGTCAGCAGTTTAACAGTTAGACAAATAAGCAAAGCAATCAAAAGAGGCTACCCTTGATCAAATTCGATAAGATCCCAACACTACATCTCTATCCATTCATGGAACTTGTACCTTGGCATTAGCATTAAGGTTTTTTTTTTTTTTTTTTTTTTTTTTTTTTTTAGACAGAGCTAGTATTAAGGTTATGTATGTGCACTCATTGTACAAATTTCAATAACAGAGAGCTTGACATACATAGGCATATATATGCAATTGCATCATTGTTATTTATGAGGCTAAGATTCGTACCAGCATGTACCAGGCATATATAATGCATGCATGCATATAATGACAAATTGAAATCATACCAAAAGCTGCTTCCATATTTCGTATCATTATTTTTGAGATCCTTTCCTTACTTTATTAGTGTCTTCTTCCTCCTAATTGGCTAAATAATGTGTACCTTTTTTGTCAAATTTTGTCATCAAAGTGTTTATCTAATATTTTGTCATCAAATAAATACGAGTACTAATTTATTTGCTTTTTAAAAGTGATTTAGAAAAAAATAATAATAATAAAAATTGGAATGGTGATGAAGCATCATTGCTTGGATTATGCTATACATCACTTTTATCAAATTTTGGCCTTTCTTATACCAATTGTGAACGTTGGAAGGTATGTGATGCACAACCAACTACGAGGTACTCCATTTATTATTGCTATATAGTACTCCCTCCGTTCCCGAAACTTCGATCCTTATGGTCTAATTTTAGTCTCAAAATGTTCATCCCATTTGCATTTTAATACCCTTTAATTTGCAATAATATTTGTGCAACATTAGCTTCCCCATGCAAATTTTGCTTTTTCTATATACTTTTATTACTTTCTCTCTCTACTTTTTTGCAATTCCAATGTAAATTTCCCTTTTCAATGTAGTTTTCTTAGTTTCCCTATACACTCTTACACTTCCAATTTAACTTCTTAATACCCGCGAAATCAACCCAAAAGGGTCGAAGTTTCGGGGACGGAGGGAGTATGAATTTTGGGCATGCACAAATAATGAGATTGTTTTTTGTTTGTAAAAAAGACTAATTAATTTGGGTCTAGAATGATGGTCCATAATGGGTATTGCTTGTTTAAGAAAAAGAGTGTAGTCCCTTTGTGAAAGAACTAGGAAGATTATACTTAAATCATTTATTATATATTCTTATATTGTTATACGCGAGGTAAAACATAGTCGGTATGAGAGACAGAAGGTTGCGAGAAAGAAGTTCGTGGTCATGAGAAATTAAGCACCCTCAAAATTCATACTCAAGTACTCGCTATCAATTGTTTAATTTGGAGATGATCGATTGAAAAGAGATGATAACAATTTGAGGTGAAAATTATGATTGAATGTATAGAAATTACTCCCGATTAATTCGCCGGGCCCTATCTTCTTCTCTGAATACTCCAATTTAAGACTGCCTTTTTTGGGCCTAACAGTTAAACTTTTTTTAACCCCCAACTTCCCAATTATTGAAACCACTACTTTTTTCACACAATTTTTTTTTTTCTATCACCAAGGAAGATTAATTTCCAACTATCTTTAACTTTTATACAGTATTTCGTTTTATCCTTTGAGAATTTTCTGAATTTGGTAATTGTATTATTTATATCTTAAAGAAAATAGAGATATGGTAATTCTATAAGAGAAGGGAGGACATGATTTCCATCTAAAAAGTCAAAAACTTTTGTATACAATTGTTGTAAATTATTTTAATAGTAACTTTTAGAATAATTCTTAATGAGTAGGAATTTTAAGATGGCTTTTAACTTATTACAACAAGTTAAGAGACACATACAATGCGTGTGTGTGCAATATAAGTAATCTATCAAGCTCGATTCTTTTTTTTCCCACATATTATCTTCCTTCATTATTATAATAAAAAAATATTAGTGGATTTAAAAATAGTAAAATTTGACTTTTCTCAAAAAAAAACAAATTAGAAAGAAAAGATGGAATTTTTTTTTTTGAACAAATATGGTAGTTTTTTTTTAAAGGATGACAGTTTTTTTTAAAAAAAAAATAAATAAAATGAGAGGGGTATTTGGGAAAGTGAAATTTATCACCGAAAACCCCTTTCACTTTATATATAGGATAGGATAGGATTTTAGCAAACAATAGATATACTTCATACTTCGCATTTAATAAATAAAATTTATGAAGGACAATAGGATTGCATTTTATGCTCATCTTCATCAAATGACATGCACCTCATGATTTTCTATCTACCACAACAAAAATTTAACTTTTACTAAAATATGACAAAATCACGTGTTGATTATTGTTATATTTTCACTTTTACCTCCTTATATCAGTTCTACGTGGTCTTGTGGTTGTATATATAATTTTACTCACTTTTCTTATTAATTATGTATAATCATAGTTACAAATATCAATAAAACTAAATTAATAGCATTTCTCTAATTCAAACATCACATGACAAGCAGAACCAGAATCATCACAACTCAAAAAAGTAAGAAAAATAGGAATACCGGACAAATAGGAATTTGTGCCAGCTGATGAAAGCCATTTTAGTGCGCAAAAACTTGTAAATCCATGTTATCTTAATATCGGTTGGTTAAACATTTCTACTCAGAAGAAGATAGAAGAGACAAGTTAGTGTTCAACATTCTTGTAATGAGTGGGCATCTTGTGACCATTATAACACACAAATCAACCCAACTTTTACTCAATCAGCTTGCTAAACTAACAATAAGTAAAATATCATTCGTCTTATATTAGTTGCATCGTTTGCTTCATCACGGCCCGTGCCGTGAGACTTAAATAAAGGAAATAGAACAAACAATTGAGCAATTCTAAATTTATACTTCGTAATACCATACCTTTAGTCTAAAATGATCGTAATAAGGTTAAAATAGTAAATGTACCCATTAAAAAGTAAAAAAAAAATTATAAAGAAAAGAGATGGAAAGACCAAAGGATCAATTAGGAACAAACGCCGTATATCTGTTAAAAATTTAGGCAACAACCATTATGTAATGCGGAAGAGCATTGGTCCAATATCATGCAATAATTACTCGTAAGGCACACACCTTTGATGATTGATAGTGAAATATTAATGGTTGGTAATGGTATATTTTATGATTAATTAAAATTATTTAGTTATATGAAGTAAATCAGTGGCTATAGATTTTGATCATAAACAGATAGTATAATGAGACGAAGGGAGTAGTGTAGCTCGAAGTAGACATGTAGAATTAACCCAATGTGTGTGGTGTTACCACGGTAACTACAATAAGCCTGTAACATGTTAAGTGTACACAAACTCTTCTCTACTGCAATTATATTTCTAGACTGTACTATGTACTGTATTTATGTTACAGACTTACAGGTCTACAGACTGCATTTGCATAGATGGAGTATGAGCATATGACAGTATTCTATCACTAGGTTCTCGAAATAACATGAAACCCAGGTCTTATTTTTGTGAAAAAGATAAAATTTGTCAATTTGATGGGTGAAATATACTAACACACAGTACACTGTTTGTTAGCTTATAATTTATTTATTTTAATTTTTTTTAAAGGGAGAGAAGGCGAATCATTAGTAAGCCCTCTTTACGATAGACCCAGAAAGATAGCCATAGAGTAACTTCAATTGTACCCGATGCCACTACTTGAAACTGATGGTGAGAAGTTACCTTTGAATTTAAAGAGCTAATTTAATCATAAATACTGTAGCATTTACAACAAATCCTGCTCGTTGAACTTTATGCTGACAAGAATGAAGGATCAACATAAGCTATCTTATCTATCTACAACTCTACAAGACTACAACAGCCATCTTATAATGATCAGCTTAATTACAAATAGTTGATGTTTTCTACCTATAAGTTTCGGGTGTTGATTTGGATGAATCTCTTCGACAAAAATCGTACTCATTCAGCTTTAAGATATCGTCTTGTGACAAGTCTAGACCGCCGCAGCTTAAATAATTTTTGGCAACACGTACTCTGCAATGCACAAAACTTAGTTTAATAGTAATTACATGTTTTCAGGAATGAAATTGTTTCTTTTTGATAATACCAGTAACAAGGTCAATTGAACAACAGCCAGTAACTTACCTCCTTCGCTTTGTCTTCTCAGCAGCTTCAGCCGATCGGGAAGCCTCTGATCTCGAAATGTGAGTCAGCGAAGATAGATAATCATGGAGTACAGATCCTCTTACTGTCAAGTAAGATCTCAATGGAACTACTGACTGAACAATATTCTGTAGGCACATCTCCCTTTCTCTGCAATAGGTCACAGCGGATTAGATATACTCTATAAAAGAATTTCACAGAATCACAAGACATAGGAGACAAACCACAAATATTACATGAAACTGGAAACTTGAAGGGCTTGATAAATTAACCAGAGAACGTGTATAACGAAAATTAAACTGGACAATAAAAATTTGAAATCTTAAAATTTAATGAAGTAGAACACCAACATCCCTACCACTCAATACTACCTCTAAAATAGTAATGTTTGGTAATGAAATTCAAAGAAATATACGAGGTATTTGGGGATGGACTAGCATTACTATAGAAATTGAAATAGGAATTTCTTCACATAATTACAAACAAAATCATTCCCATTATGCAACTAATAAACAGGCCATAAATGGCACCACTGTTTATTATAATTTATTTTCCACATTTATTCAACAAAACATCTCACCAAAAAAAAACCAAATATCGAAGAAAGTTGTCCAGCATATAGCAATCCCAATCCACTGTCCTAAAAGTCATGCCATACCAAAGCCTTCTGAATTAAGTGTATCAACAGACAATCTATATCAATGACAACCATCGTGCTAACACCTCCAAGTTCATGTTTTGGTTCAGCTAGAATAAATCTTGACTTGGATCTGATCCTCTTACTTTGTTGGTCCTAGTCCACATCCTCCTCCACAAGTGTGTGTGTGTGCGTGCGCGCGTGTGTGCAACTTCCCCCGTAGTCACCCCAAATAAGCCAATGCTTTTAAAAATTGCAAAGGTATTCCTAAATGCAAAATTAAGACAGTTTGTCTTCACTTCAGGGAAAAAAAAAAAAATCCCCATTTAATTACTGCCAGGAGGGTGCATATATGGTCATTTTATTTACAATTCATGACTAAACAGGCGAAAATGCAAACAAGAATTACAGTGACCTGTAAACTTATTAGGTGGCAACAGCATTGAGATCAACAGGATACAACTCTATGAGAGAAAAAAAGTTTATATTAGGCTATAGCTACATTTCACAACACACAAAACACACCAAATTCAGCTCATGAGTGGGAATGTTCAGCTAAAAGGAACAAGCTCCTAGTTCTGACACAAGGAACATTATGGAATTGGTTTAAATCAATTATAACTATGCAATGCATTTATCACAGTCAAGCACATAACTAAGTTCATGTTCAGACCTTGTGGATGAAATATCAACTGTTGTTGCTGCCTGCTTTATGCTCGTGTCAATCAATGGAATTTGCCTCTTATTTAGACTTAGTAACTTTCCTAATGCCATTGAATTGGTTGTTGATATGAGCATCTCCCAACCTAGATGCAGATTGTTGGCAAGGCCCAGCTTTGATTGCAAAGCATCAATTTCTTTAGCATACAAAAAATAGCCATATTGTGCAATGTAAAATGCCATCTGAATTTGCTGATCATGCAAACCAAAGGAAAAATCTTCCTCACTAAGACCTGATGAATCCTGCAACCATAAACAAATTATCATAGATGAAAAAAATGACCATAACATAGAATAGTGAGAATAAACAGTAAAGCTAAAAATCATCTGAGTTGCTTACATTGAGTAAAAATTCATAGTCATGAAGTAAAAGATCACCCTCTGAAATTAAATTGCTCATTCTATAACCCAACTCCACAAGTTGAAGAGCATTTTTATGTTCTGTGACACAATACTGCCCCAAATCTGTCTGCCGGAGTTCATTCCACCTTTCCTGCACAGGATTTTTTACTTTTAATGCAGAACTCCTAGATTTCTTAGATTTCTTAAAGAAATCCATGCGACTGCACTCATCCATCACCTGACATCCAGAGGTGCTGGGCTCATGATGTTCATTTTCACGATGAGAATCTCCCATCTCTTCATCCCTTGCATTCAAATTTAAGTCAATACCACAGAATCTATAGTCAGAAGCTTGATGTCCAATAACAGATGGGTCAGCATCGTCAGTTGCAATTGGCGAGACAATTTCCATCATATCTGTTCCTGATGGACACTCTGTTCCATCATTAACTTCAGTCTCTGGAACAAATGTTGACTCTGGTACATAGGACATGTCGAATGACTGACACTGATCTTTAAAGTGATTAAAATTTGTAGCATCTGAATATTGGCGATGATGCTCCTCTGCTTTTGCCAAATTTAGTGTTTGCCCATCTAACGGGTTTGGAGAATTATCTACAGCAGGAAAGCTTGCGAAACCAAACACATTCTTCTTATCAGGTAATAGATGTTGGGCACTTTTTGCTTTTGCCTCATCTCTATATATTTGTTCACTCATTAGTTTCAGAGAATCACCTACTTGCAGACAGCTAGCATGCTTGACAGTGGGAACTTGTGGATGTTGCTGTTGGATTTCTTTCTCCTTTCCTATTTCACAGAACTGGTTACTTAATTGCAACAAGGGAACATCCACAGCTACAAAACTATTGTCACTTCTATCAACTGTCTCTGGATGTTGGCGCTGAATTTCCTTCTCTTTAGCTTCTACGAAATGAAATAGCTGGTCATTTGAAGGGTTAAAAGAGTCGCCCAGTGCTGTATAGCTGAAAGGGTTGGCACTTGCTGTTTCTGGATGCTGATTCTCACTGTTTTGAGTTTTTTCCAGATTCAGATGGTCAAATGATGGATTGAAAGAGACATCAGCTATTACTGGACCATCAAGATTCACAGTTCCCATTTCAAGATGCCAATGCTGAGGCTCAGCCATGCTAGCCTTCTCTATGCACTGCATGAGTTGGCCAGTGGACTGATTCCTTGTACTACCTATGGTACCACTGATGGGATCAGCATGCGTTGGAGGTGTAAACAGGCATCTCTTTATTGGGTTTTCCCCCTCTTTGCAAGTTCGTACCTGGTCGCTCAACGGGTCCAAACACAGATTGCCGGCGTTTTCTGTCTCTATCTTCACACCATTTGCATCTCCAAAATGAAAGACTTGATGCGCTGACTGATTATTAGAGTTGCCAATGATTGAAAACATTTCATAATCCACTACAGGAAATTGGTGCATGTTGGTATCTAAGTTTCCATCTTGAGTATGTGCAAGAAGGTCATTCAACAGGCTCAGAGAGTCCTTGTTATCCCCATTACTACTGCAGTTTGCACGGACAAATTCCAGATGTTGATGCTTTTCCTCTGCAGAGTGTACCAAAAGGTCAGTTGATTGCTTACATGAATTACCCACAGCAAAAAAGTTGAAGTCGTTAGCATGTTCCATGTCTGGTGACCGGTGTCTGGCTAATTCTACTTCTTTTGCTCCAGACTGAAGTAACTGTCCACCAACACTATTTGAAAGTCCCTCTAAAGCTAGGTGAAGGACAGAAAACTGAGAATTCTGAGATAATGTATCATTACCATCACCAGGCAAACTGTCTGAAACAGCAAGATATTCATTATTACAGATCTCATCTTCAGATTCAGACAGCACGGTGTCAGATTTTCTGCGGACATTGCGGCGAGTAAATGCTACTGGAGAGCCTGAAGAATTGAAGAACTCACAAGTATTGCTTCCTTCTATTATATCATTATCTACATGTAGAAAGCAATCTCCGCTTAAAATTGCTTCTTTCTTTGCCTCAATGCTTGCTGATTCACTTATATCAAGATCCAATTGATCCTGTATACTGATATCACCCGACTCTTCTTCCTCAATCAGTCCTAACAAGCTATGATTTTCTTCCATTTTGCAGAAGGATTTGGCAACTTCTGCTTCAACAAACTCAGATAATGAAGAAGGTAATGCCCAAGGAATCAGTTTAGGCAATACACGGTGGCCAGCTTCCAGATTGAACATCAGAGGACTGAATATACTTCGCATATTTCCATCTGAAGCATTAAAAAGACTAATCTGATAAAAACGCTTTTGGAAATAATATATACTTTGTATATAAATATAACAAATACTTTAATTTGAACTACAGGTTCTTCATTATTATAAAACTTTAGATAGATCATTCGCAAGAAGAATGTACATAATTTTCATCAAGCCTACACTCTGATATATATGTACATATGTACATGCAATTCAAAATATATGTACCTAGCGATAACATCTTAAAGGATTTCAGACAATATGCTGAACTGAATGAGCAAAATATATACCTACATTTCAAATATGATATACTAGTCTTTGACCTGAGCTCTGAAATTGTTATAATAAATGCTTTCTGTTTTTTAGGGTTGAATTAACATGTTTAGAATTTACATCTTCATATGTATTTCAAAATTTAAGCAAATTAGTTTAAAAAAAAAAAAAAAAAAAAAAAAAAAAAAAAAAAAAAAAAAAACCTATTATCTAAGATATTTAGTTAAAACCACCTTTTTTTTTCCTTTTTCTGTTAAAGATGCATATTGTTTTGCAGGGTAAAACTTCAAATATTTCTGCCTAGTGTCCCTTCCATTAAAGCTCTCTCTCTCTCTAACTAACTAGCTTATTACCCATGCCAATAGATCATAACGCAACTACCTAAATTGCGTATCCCTCTTATATCAATTCATAGCATACATGCTTCCAATCTGATGTCTAGCTTTCTCCTGGACTGCGCTATGTATCTCTATATCATGCCTTCGTTAAAAGGTATTGCTGTTTGGAGGGGAGTGGAGTGGTGGGGAGAGGATGTGTGGTTAGCAAAGTATTCTCCCTAGACAATATTACACTCTAAATCCATCTCACCTTTAACGCATTCTTTACTCTGGCACCAGAATTGAAGATTCATCAAAGTCTTACGAATGTCCCCTCCGCAAAATTTGATGCATCTTTCAATAAGGTTAGGTTGTATGTTGGCCTTTTCAGCAGAAGAAACCTGCAGAACAAGACAACAATGAGAAATTTGATGAGTGAACGGAAAAACTTCCAAACAGGAGAAAAGTCAGAGGATGTTATTAAGGTCAAACCAGAAATATATGGTCCGCCAGCTCCTTTAGTGATGGCATCGTAAAACAAACTTCTTCTCTATCCAAACTGTCTGGCAGCAGCGGGCATTCATCTGAAAATTATAACTGTGAATAACTTCACAACCAAATAAATTGGAGAACATATCAGAAATATTTATCATGTTTATAAGCTAGTGGAGCATATATAATGTTATTGATATACTTGTAAGAAAATCTTCATTAGTAATCCCTTACTATTACTGGTCAATATCATGGGCCGCTTCCCTATATCAGCCAGTTGTTGTATGGTAGAAATGAAGCCACGATCATCGCATAAAGTAATATCCACATCTTCAAAAAGTATCAATGATTTGATGTCACCTTTGTCACAAGAAAGTTTACCATTACCGTGGTATTGACTTTCATTATTACCCACATAATCTTCCTCTTCTGAGAGAGATATTACTTCAACTAAACCATCGTTCAAATACTGTTCTGCTGCTCCATTTGTTTTTACAGGTGAAGTCTTTAAGTTGAGCTTACCCTTAGGACTTTCCTGGGCCCTAGGCAATACAAAAGGTCAATTTCAGGAGATTGTGGATTATCTTAAGAATGATTTCAAGACAATGGGCATCAAAGGCAAACCGTTTGAGAAAATGCGATCCTACAGCCTCGCCAAATTTTTGCTTGAGAAGAGCTCCATTCCTCCAGTCTGATGCATTAACCTTGAAAAAGATGAAACAGCATGAATAAGCAGCAAGAAAAATGAATAAGAGTTGTTTAGGTAGAATAGTCCATGATAAATTCTGCCAGTGGCAGGATCTACAGAAGTCCATAAACGAGATTAGTTTACTTCCATGTCCCAAAAAGTCACAACACACTTTTACACTGGGAGAAGAAAACCCACAATAGAAATGGAAAATCACCGGGCCTTTCACAACTTAACAATATGCTACCTTGAAATTATGCAGAAGCGTTATCAGGCTCTTCTTTAGGCAACTAGATAAAAGTTTATAGGTAAGACAATAAAGGACAATTAAAGACCTTTTAGCCAACTATTTACATTCAACAGTTACTAGAGAAACCGCATGCTACCACCATGTATGCAGCAAAGTACTGTTTAGAGGTATAAAAAATGAGACTACATTGAAAAATAATGATTTAAGCAGGCTGTCACAGTCAGATCATTATCCAAAGAAACAACTAAGGTTGGGCCACTAATTAAGTTACTGACAACATAATGAGACCAAAGAGGCTCAACTGAAAACTCAACGCAGCAAGTATCTGCAGAACAATCAGCAAAATTGAACTATTTTACTTCTAAAAAAATTGTGTCCCCTCGATTACCCAAAACAAAGTAAGGAAACACACAAGACAATATGAAGCTCATTTGACTTCAAACTGACACTAGAGCTGATTTTTTAGCCTCAAGCAACAAATACGGGGTTTTCAACAAAATAACAACATACCTCAATGACTTGGAAGCCTTGCTCTTTTGCACAAGCATATATGGCCGCCGATTTTCCACTCTGCATGCCAAAACAAAGAGCTTAGCAAAATCAAAGGAAACAAAACATCCAGAAAGAGAAGGAACAGGTTAACCTGACATAGTGATACATGATATGATTTATATCAGGAAAAATACCAAAGGATCAAGCTTTACTATTTTGTAAGCGATTATGAGGAGTACTGAAACTGCTGCATGTTTATTTTGTCGTGTAATGCTTTTATGGCAATTTGTGGTGTCTTTGGTTAGAGCAGAATGCACGTATTTCTTCATGAATTGTTATAACAAGTTTTTTTTTGTGGGCTAGAATTACTTATTAAACATCTTTGTGGGCCAAGGCAGTGGGAATTCTAACAGTTACTGGACCGGGGTAAATTTGCAATCTGGTGTTCTGACTTCTAAGCACAACTAGCACTCTGTTTTAAAGTTTTCTTGATGTAGAAAAAAAATTATAACAATAACATATCTTTATAATTGATCTGTATGAAAATTTTTGTAAGAAAAAAATTGAACGTGAAGACAAATATTAGAACAGATTCAATAGACCATACAGTGAAAAGAAGGGACATGTCATACAAAGAGACTATAATAAAGATCAGAAGCATGATTGTAATTCATTTATGTACTCTCACACTGTTAGAACATAAACTGCATTGTGAACAAGAACATACCCCAACAGGCCCTGTCACCAAAAGAACGTTTTTCAAGCCAGATGCCTCTAAATTTTCAGCATCTGAATCACTATCATATTCACCATCTTGGATCAAGCACTTGTCAGCAGAGTAAGAACTTTTGCTGAAACGAAAATCCATTTCATGCCAACGATGAAGCCAGTCATTTATAAACTTCACAGCTTCACTGTTACCACAAACCTGCCAAAATAATGGGAGAAGATATATTTAAAAGTACATATTAAATAACGATTCCCCCACCCACCCACCCCAAAAAGTTAAGTGAAACAAATACGAAGTATGTAAAAGAAACAAAAGTTGTTCTGTATCAAGATAAAGTTCAAAGGCCAGACCTCCAATCCCTTTTCTGGATGATATTTGTTTGCCCACATGCTATTCTCTGGATAATTACCACGATTGAGATAATCTTCCATATTTCTGCAAGTCAACCACGTCAGTTAGGTTTTGTTAAAACCGACATATCCTTCTATCAGAACATTGCTTTAAGAGACAAATAGGATCTTCTAAGCATATAAATTGCCCAAAAAGTCAAAGGCAGCAACATTTTTGTATAGGATCACATTTTGTTGGTCCAGAGCAACATGAAAACTGTTTAAAGCAATTGAGACAGTATCAGCGGACAACAGCAGCAAAAGGTGTTAAGTTATTGATGTAATAACTACATAGACATCATGGAGACATAACAACACAAGTATCTTATGGACAGCCGAAAAATGGACACCTAGAATATAGTATATAGAGAATTTGTACCCTGAACATCCCCACCACCACATACTTTTTTTTTTTTTTTAATTGTCTCCTTTACTGTTTCTGCTTCTAGGGATTGCTACCATACTGTTTCACTATTTTTTTCTACTTTAGGGCTTTCCTTGAATCAAAATACTTAAAAGTATGGGCCTCCACGAAATAACTTAAACACTCTCTACAGGCTATGTCAAGCCTTCCTTCTGTATATGGATGTCAGTATGTCACCCCTTGGTGACTTTATAAGATAGTCCTTTAAAAAATTAATACAAGCTCCACAGAGAAAGAGTATATCTTACAAGAACTGGTAGAGACTAATAGAAATGGAGAGCCAAGAACCAGAATAGTACATACAGACATATGATATAATGACACATCTATGTTCATTGTATTTAAACACAAAAACTTGATACATCCACTGAAATTTAAAAGCAAAGAGTGCATGACTACCTTTCCTGTGGAACAACATTTTGCTGCTCAAAATGTGTGCTGACCTGGCCGACCTTACCAAAGATACAAAGTTCAGTTTCTTCAGAATTCTAACAAAGCAGCACTTAGTCAGAGCAGCAGGTAAAATGCAAACCAAACAAAGATTTTATTTGACTTAAATTAATCTTGAGACGTAACCTCGTGTATAACAATGATGTGCTTACCTTTTCTAAGTTCTTCAACGAGTCACATGGTGTCACGTCTTCATTGATGACTATAGGAGAGGTGTACGTAAACATTACAGAAAAGTCTTCATCAGTACTACAGAAATGGGCCAAAGAAACATCCTTAAGAAGCAGTGAAGTTCTGGAAGTATTTGAAGCTCTCGGAATATCATCAAAATTTAGGGAACCAACAATGCCTTCGAAGCAAGATCTTTTCCTTTCTTGATTACAAGAGGTGCTGAAGATCCCCTCATCAAAGGTCCAATTGCTCCAATCAATAGAATCTAAATCATCCTGTAAAATAAACATGAGAAAGAAAACAGATTGTCTTCAACTCAACTGGAGATAGAAAGCATTAATTGAGAGAGAAGTGTCACGAAGCCTACTAGAACAGTTTATCTACCTTAACGTTATCAAAAACATGAATAGGACCGATCTCAACATTTCTCTCCTTCCTTTTATTAAAGTACCCATTATTCTCCGCCTCAATAGTCTCCAAATCTTTCTTTCCTGCCTTCCACGAGGAGAAAAATGGGTGTATCTGCTTTCCAGCAAAAATCCGTGAATTTTCCTGATCAGAATTGATAGAGTTAGCCACATAGAAAATTACACATTAAGAGAACAACTCATTAAAGGCTGAATTTTCACTATACATTTTTTTAGAAGAAAAAACTAAGACTGGCAGAGAGCAAAACAGCAAATTAGAGCTGAGCTAAGTATTCATGACTTAAACAAAACATAAGCAATCAACATAATTTATCACTTGACATTAAAAACTATTGCATAAGAAAGAAATTAGAAGGATGATGCTGGAAGCAAACCTCGGCAGTCTTCTTAGCCTCCAGCCACAGATCAGGAACAGGCTGTGGAGATTGCAGGGTAGCTATTGGATGAGTTGATAGCTTTGAAGTGGATGTCGCCTTATTTCCATTAGTTCTTCCATTTCTTGTTGAAGCACGTTGCTTTGTTTTTAGTTGATGAGGACTTGCATCATCTTCAGGAATGAATATCAAATTAAAATATATTCCCTCAAGAAATGGGTAAAGCATTTTATGACGCCAAAAGTATAAGCATTCAAGACAAAATTTCTAACTAGCTTTTTATCTACTGATAATCAAATATAAGAGGTAAGCAGAGAAATAAAATTTAACGCTGATCTACTTGTGGAAAAAAAAAAAAAAAACCAACAACAACAACAACAAAAAAAAAAACAAACAAACAAACAAACAAACAAAAAATTTAGTCATAGAAAAGGTAAATGTGAATTGGAGAACTTTCCCTCCATTCATAATGTCTATGTTATATCTTGTGCACAATCAACCAATCAATCAAAGCCTTAATCTCATAAGGTCGGCTACATTAACCAAAAGTGATTATTCCATATAGTCATCCACAAAAATCTTCATCCTCCATCCCTTAGGATCAAATACCTCATTCTCATGCAAATTCATATGGTTCACATCCTTCCTAACTCCTTCCAACCAAGTCATTTTAGGTCTCCCTCTACCTCGTTTAATCTCTCCATGATCTCACTCTTCCACTCTTTGTACCGGTGCCCCCCGAGGTCTCCGTCTTACATGCCCGAACAAACGCAAGCGATTTTCCCTTAGTTTGTGAGGACATGACAGTAAATATGGGTGCTTTATCATGTTTCTAACGCCAAAATTGTTTAATAACTGCAGTCCATTAAGACAGGCAGATCAGTCGTTGCTCATAACCAGCTGAAGATGATAATGGGCCCAATATTCAGCTTGTTTGATTCCCTACAAATATCATTACTTGGGGACATTTAGCTCTTCAGATACTCAATGGTGTCTGAGTTGGTTTGAAAAATAAAGTGCTGAAGTCCAACAACAGTCCCATACACACACCCCAAAAACTCAAGCTGAAAATTCTGACTAATCCTCTAGATTGTCACCTCTGACTTTGTTTTTTCAGAGTTAGATTTTACTATCCTATTCTACTTTCAAAAACATACTCACTTTTATTTAAGTGATTCAACTTGTGAGCAGATTTCAAATAAATCTTGGTAAGTCAGGCATCTTCTTGTGCCAGATGGAGTAGCAAGAAAGTTAAGAGAATATATGCAACTTTTCTCTAATCAAAAGTCAATGAGGGGAGAGTGCAACAGTCTGTTGTGTGAGATTTAGTTCATAGACCACGATAGGGGAGAAAGTTAGGTTTTGAAGCATCTAAGTGGGTAAGCAGCTAAAGATGTTTCGTTTGGCACCTGACTCTAAGTCACAAGGGAGACCAAGTTAAAACTTTATCTTCAGCAAAATTACCGCAAGGCTTAAGGTAGCACTAAGTTTGCTATCTAACGCCATGGAAGTCTACCTTAGAGATATCTTTATAATTGGATCTTCTGGCCAAGTTTGAGTCCAGTTATGTGACTAATGAACGGTTATGGAGGGTTCTTGGACAAGAAAGCATCCACTGTTTCCCCTCGACTTTATCATATGTCCATCTTACACCAGGCTTCTATTTCACAGCTTATAGTTTGCGAGGATTATTAGCTAGTCTTAAAGCTTCATTGTACAACATGATGTTGTCTATCTGTAAGATTTTCCTGGATTTTAATGCTTTAATAATGCTAATCAAGAATCTGGATCGTCCATTTTTCAAGCCATTCACTTTGTAAATATTTCTATGGGGCATAGAGCACTTAACAAAATACCAAATCTTACTATATTCCTGCTTCCAATTGCATTTGGATAGCAAAAGCCCCTATGATGTTTACCACCTTTATGAGTTTATGCAGGCTGCAGTTTTGAATACACTCCTAATATCTAAGGTGCAATGGCCAACTAGAGCCTTGTTTCCTAATTTGCATTTTATACTATAAGAGTGCAAAATGTGATCCTTGTTTCTCAAGAAATACGACAATCCATATGATACATTTCCACGCTCTACCTACACTAAAGGTATAGACAGTTAGATATAAAAGATAATTTTGGTCTTCCATCCCACTTTGATGGGCGAATGCAGGTGCTGCTTTCACAAATAATAAATCACAGGGTTCTTTGGGGGTACACATCTATGGCAGTCGAGTAGTGCCATGGTTGGTGTGTAATGGCAATACCTTTTACAAAAGGGCTTATGATGTTTTGGAATCATGTAGTGATTGTTGCCTCTTTAACATACCAAAATCTTCCAATGATGAGACTTGAGAAAAAATCAGAAGGATAATGCAAGTTCAATTTTCACCCCCCCCCCCCTCTTTCCCTTCCCTTCCCCTTTATGATTTCTACCCAAAAACACTCTTTGCCTGTTCAACTGAGCCTTGTTAAGTACCATTAGCATCTCATGATTCGCAAGAGATTTCCACATGATTGACATGGCCTTCAAACCGTTATAGAAGCATCATGGTCATATACACATATGACATACGTCATGTCATATAAACCTAATGCTACCATCCCTAAAGCTAGAGAGACAAACTCCAGGTAACATCAATTTGTTTAACATTAATATTCAGGACAATTTGTTAAATACAACAAAATCTCAACACAGACACCAACAAGAGAAGATTAATTTAGGACTACCTGGAGATTCCGTATCATCAAGATCAACAACAGAAGCATCTTTTCCATTGACAGCCGCCTGCTTTTCAACGACAATGCACGTAGATTAACAAGAACATCTTTCGTGAGTAGAACAAAAACATGTACAGCAAAGCAGATAAGGTAAAATAACATACAACTATGAACACATTCCCCATTGGATAAGATTATCTAAACAACACTCCACCAATTTCAACCATACTCGACTAAATCATAATCATAGTTTACTTTAAGCTAGCCACATTCATACTCGTTCAATAAAGATATCAAAATATAAATCAAATTTTAAAAGACCACATAATCAAGCTCAAATTAAACAACTTTCTCACCATTCAATCAAACAATTAAAGCATAAAAACCCAAACCCACATCAAATCAAATAATGACTACCTTCTTAGACACCCGTTTCGATGGCGTAGAATTCCCTTTCGTATTCCGTGCTCTTTTTCGCTTCCCTCCTTGACTCCCACAAACTTCCTCCTCGTCGTCATCGTCGGCAATCACCTCAACCTTAGTATCATTAACCTTCTTAGACCCCCGTTTTTGAGGCGTAGTACTTCCCTTAGGTCTACCCCTTTTTCTCTTTCCTCCTTGACTTCCGCCAACTTCCGCCGCATCGCCGTCGTCGGCGGCAATTTCCTCGACTTTGGTGTCGTGCGGCTTGAGAGGAAATAGCGTTGTTTGTACAAATTTCCGACGAACGAGCTTCGGATCCGGTGATTGAAGATCGACGACATTGGAAATTGGGGGTTGATCGGTTTGATCAGGTGGATTATCCATGGAATTGATGAGCTAGGGTTTCTGGAAATTAGGGCTTTTCAATCGAATTTAGGGGTTTTTTAAGCGGGAGTACACTAGAGTTTCACATGTGATGGGAGAGAGAAAGAGTGATGGAGGGAGTGAAAGATTTATTCCCGCGCAATTTGGATGAGCTTGTTCACTTGTTGGGTTCCTAAATACTACGTAAATTACTACGTAGGATGTTTTTTTTTTAAGACAGACATGGTAAACTATACAAGTTTATTTTGGTGGTTTTTCATTTTTTGATTATAAAAAAAAAAAAAAAAAAAAAAAAAAACCTAAAATAAATGCTAAGTAGGTGCCTATGTGGAACAATACTACAATTTACAAAGTATAAATTTAATGAAGCTTGTTTTATGTGTATTAGCGAATCAGGTTTTACCGTTTTAATACTTCATTCCTTTGTTTATAAATTTTCTTTTTATTTTAACTATACACGTTTGTCAATGCATTACTTTGATCATACAAGACGAATTAAATATGACCCAAACCTGACTATACTATAATATATTGAGAGTATTCGTCAAAAAAAAAATTAAATAAATAAATAAATATTGTGAGTAAATTTGAAGATTATTATAAATAGTGTCAAGATTCAATATTAGAACAAAATATAGAAATTAAGAGACCATAAATTTTTTGGCCTAATGTAAAAATTATTTAGATGAAGTCGTTTACCTACTCTAATCATTTCTTAAAAACGTTTCTAAAATTTGTATATGAAGTATATACAAGATACTCAATATAATTTAGATTAATAAGTTATAGTTACTATTATGCAATTTATTAGATATTATTGAGAAAAATACCAAATACGAAAAAAAAATACGAGTTTTTATTTATGTATATGTTTGTATAATTTTTAATAATATAGATAAATGAGCTATAATTACCATTATATAAAATATTAAAAAATAAAATGCTAAGAAATTAAAAAAATTGTAAAATATTTATTACCCAAAATTTAATATTGTTTGTTATCCGACAATATACATTTTAAATAAATAAATAATATTGTTTGTTCATATTGAATTTAGGTAATTATAGTGTCATATGTCTTTCAAAATATATATATATGTATATATATTATATATACTGTCATATGGAGGGTTTTTATTATTATTATTATTATTTTTATTATTATTATTATTATTATTATTATTATTATTATTATTATTTTTGTTTGTACATCTAAGTTGACAAATTATGGTTGTTCCGAATTAATGTGTGTATATGAACTCCTTCCCCCAAAGTCTCTTCATTTTGTCATACCTTGTTTTGCAATAATTATACCAATTCACATTTTCCTCAAAGAGTTGTACGTGAAATATAGAAAATTAAATTATTTTTTGATTTAACAAAACCCTATATTTATTTTTTGTGGAAAATTTTTATTCAACTTTGATAATTTATAATGTAAATGGTTGAGATTAAATAATGTTGAAAATAAATGGTTGAGATAGATTATAATGTAAAACTGGTTGTCTTTTAAAAAAACCTTTGTAGAATCTTTCTTGGCACACATGAAAATATATACTCTTCTCTACCTTTTTAAAAGTATGAGTAAACTCTTATGAATGTGTTAAGACTATTATACCCCTAAAATGTTTATTTACGTATTTACCCCCTTTTAAAAGTATGACCACACTTTATAACTAATATTGAGAAGATTACGTCCGTAAAATATTTATTTACATATTTGCCCTTATTAATATTAATTGTTTTTCTTAACTCTTACGAATAGAGTGTGGACATATACTCCTAAAAAAATTTGTTTACATATTTTTCTTAATTAACGCTACTAACAATGCCAACCCAAAAAAAAATACTGGACATGGCTAGTAAAACGTTAGCCGGCCTAGTGAAAAGAAAAGTTTTACTTAAATCCCTCCAACCTCTTCCTACTTGAACTTGAAATATTGACACTATTCACAAAATAATAGATTTTTCAAAATAACTCTTAATAATCCTCCATTTGCATTATTCATTTGATCTACCTTGACTATTGCTTGTGATTTTTATATATAAGAAAAAATTTAGTTTGTGGCCACTTGTTGGAATTGTGTCAATGAATATATTATTAATTTTCAGCTGTTAAAATATATTACTGATTAAGGACTTGCATCAACATACTTGCCCACGAGAAATGGAGCAAGTAATAAAATACGAAGAGAGTTTATATCGTATTAAAGACAATATTGTCATGTTGGGTTGTATTTGATTTTATCTCATTAAGTTTATTATTAATATTTAATTGTTATATTTTGTATTTTTTTAATTTCCAACTAAATTGATTTATAGTCAATGTATACTAGCTACCATCAAACTGAAAAAGCCTTTTTAAGAACAGAGTGAGTATAATACCAGTAAATTTTATCATTAGAGGTTTTTATAATACTACCATAAAGTTTTATTATGATATTTTGCACATATGCTGAGGCTGAATTGACATTGAGATTTGAAGAAAAAATACGAGTAAAAAATTGTGTATGTTGAAACTATGAAACCCAATATTAGTCTATTGGGTATGTGTTTGTACTTCCTCACTTGCTCAATTAGAACAATTTTTTTGGTACCCATGACAAAGGTTTTGCATTAAGCATCATAAAGGCTCGTTTTTGCATTCATTCATTAATTCTAAATGTCAAAATGTCAATATAGAATGAAATTAGCAAGTAAGTAATATATGTTAATCATAGAGTGTATTACAAGCAAGTTTATTCAAGAAACACAAGTCTTAATTTTATTTCTCACAACATTACACCAGGTAGATACAGTTTAAGTTAAAAGTTGAAATAATTCCTTAACAGTTAACACCTTATGATATGTAGTACTTCACAATAATTTTTTATTTTTTATTTTTTTTCCTGCATTCTTAATATTGTTCCATTGACTTCCATATACTACAAAACTAGGTTAAACCCCGTGCAATAGATATACAGTTGTACAATAATTTTACTGACAACAAATTATAAAAACAGTGTTTTTTTCAAAGGACTCGACATACCAATCACTTCCTCTATTATTTTTTACTTGATCGGTTTCATTCATCACGCTTGCTAATGCTAAACTTTAACTATCAATAACTTTAACTCTCTGTACGCAAAAATTATAAAAGTTATATATTATGATAGTATTTATTGAGACGATTTTAATAAGATCTCACATGAATATGTTTTTTCCTTACGTATAATTCACAAAGGACAGTCAAAGGAAGGGTGGTGAGTAGTGTAAAAGTCAAAGCGGGTCAAGTAAAAAAGAACTGAGAAGTATTAAACTGTACGGAGTATGAAGTACATTAATAAATAACCACACATAAAGTTTAATGAACAATTTAGTATTTTAGAAAGTTAGTTTATATTTTATGTTAGGCAAATGTAATAATTTAAATACAATCCTTTTTTAAGCAAGTATAATTGGAGGAAGATTTTTTTTTTTTAAGAAAGTATCATTGAAGGGAAAATATTTAATATATTACTACCGAGTGTCTTACCTAGTTTCGCATTTAGTAATATGTAATATTCGTGGATACAAATGTCATATGTAGTATGATGGTTATTGTTTTCCCTCAAGTCTCAACAACCCAATCATCACCGTAAAATGAAAAACAAATTAAAAAATTCAAGAGTTTTCAAATGAAATGATACAGTACAAACTACAAAGTATACAAATTACAATTAATATACAGTATCGTATATTGTACAGTACAATTTTAGTGAGACTGAGGAGCAATGGAATACTCATGGAATCATGGCAAAATTGAAAATTGTCTTGTCACAACTCACAAAAAAAGCTCGAAAATCAAGACACCCTCACCTCTGTCTTGCACAACTTTTGTCCACTTCTTCCTTACTTTTACAACTTTTACAGACTTCTCCATTTCTCCTCCCTCTTCTTCCGCCTCCAATCTCTCTCCTCAAACCCAGTTTTCCCAAACCCTCAAACCCCTTTCAAATTTCCAACCGTTTACATCTTCCCCGGAAACCCCAGATTTTTTTTTTTTTTTTTTTGTTCTTACCCAGAAAAACCTCTTTAACTTAAGCAAACTCCCAACAAAAAAAAAAACCCAAACTTTTCTTCCATTTTTCTTGTTTCTGGGTTTTTCTCACTCATTTTAGACCCAAAAAAAGCAACCTAAAGATGCTAAACTCAAAACCCACTTCAAATCCACTAGTAACCTCAAAACTAACCATTTTCATACTTACAATCTTGTCAATTTTATCACTAGTAAGCTCAAAATCAACCATTGAACCCTGTTCAAACTCAGACTCATGCAATGCTATGCTTGGTTACACTTTATACACTGACCTTAAAGTCTCTGAGGTAGCTGCCCTCTTTGGAATCGACCCAATTGCTCTACTAACCGCAAATTCAATTGACATTTCGTACCCGGATGTCGAAAACCATATATTACCATCCCAGTTATTCCTCAGAATCCCCATTAGTTGTTCTTGTGTTGATGGTATTAGGAAATCAGTGTCTACACATTACAAAACCCGGCCTTCGGATTCGCTTTCCTCGATTGCAGACTCGATTTATGGGGGTTTAGTGTCTGCAGATCAGCTTAGGGAAGCTAATTCAATTACTGATACTGCTGTTCTTGATGTTGGACAGAATTTGGTTGTGCCTTTGCCTTGTACTTGTTTTAATAATACTGATAACTCTTTGCCTGCTATCTATTTGTCATATGTTGTTCAACCTGCTGATACATTGCCTGGTATCGCGGCGAGGTATAGGAATACTATTACTGATTTGATGAATGTTAATGCTATGGGAAGTACTGCTATTTTTCCTGGAGATATACTTTCAGTGCCACTGTCTGGTGAGAAGACTGTCCTGTTTTTCTTCTTGTTGTTGTAACTGTTGGAAAATGATGTATGTAACCCATTATATGAAGTTGAATGACAAGATAGTCTAGCATTGATATAACACTGATTGACGCATGATTTTGTCATATTCGTTCTGTTTTAAAATGTACCATGTACCCATGCTTATTGTTCAGCTTGCAATATTGATTGAGCTTTCAAGTTATGGGAGTTTTCTGCATTGTGCTACAACATTATTTGTTATGACTCAAGAAGACTTTATGCTTTATGTATAGAATGCTAAATTAACTGAAATGCAGACTCCTGTATGTTGCTTTTAAAGTTTTAATTTAACAAGGTCTTTAATTGTATGATTTTCTAGGTGCAATCTAGTAGAAAAATTGTGTGTGTGTGTGTGTTTTTTTATTTTTTATTTTTAAATGCTATGTACTCTAGTAAGGCTATGTTGAATATTAGAATTGTAGTATACTACTCTGTACTACCTTTGTCTGAAAAATACGAACCTTTTGAACAAGGTAGTATTACTTTTTATTTTTTTATTTTTTTTGGCATACATTAAGGAATTATCTAAGAATTTAGTTAGTTAATTCTATCTAAAATTGCAATGTTAACGTAAAACGATGGATTATAGTGTGTGTGTGTGGTGGTGGTGGTGGGGGGGGGGGTTGCGTGGATGTGGTTGCGGGTCAGTGGGTGGGGGTGAGTGCATGTTGTCACCTGTCACCTACATGCTGTTAAATTTAGAGAGTATTCAAACAAGCAATGAGGTTCACTTTGTTGGAGTGTGAGTGTGTGTGTGTGTATGTGTGTGCGTGTGATTGATGATTGAGTGCCTTATATTCAAACAAGCAATGAGGTTCACTTTGTTGGTGTGTGTGTGTGTGTGTGTGTGTGTGTGTGTAATTGTGATTATGATTGATGATTGAGTGCCTACATGTTGTCAAATTTAAAGAGTATTCAAACAAGCAATGAGGTTCACTTTGTTGGAATCCTCTCTCGGTATCTTTTATCTAAACAATGGTGTGATGGATAAGCTTCTAATTTTGTCATTGCCTTGCAGCATGTGCATCAAATTTTCCAACAACTGCTTCTGATTATGGCCTGATTGTTCCAAATGGAAGTTATGCAATCTCTGCAAGTCACTGTGTACAGTGCAGTTGTGGCCCAGGGAGCCGCAAGTAAGTAACTTAAACAATTTAAGATGATTTTCACCTTTTAAATTTATTTGGAGGTACTGGTTTACTTGTTTGCTTGGTAGATTAAGCATGGTTGTGGTTATGTTTACAGTTTGTATTGCATGCCAGCATCATTGGCGGTATCTTGCTCAAGCATGCAATGCCGTGGTAGCAACCTTATGGTTGGGAATTCTACTATTCAACAAACCAGTGCTGGTTGCAATGTTACTTCTTGTAATTACGATGGTTATTCAAATGGCACAATTCTAACTATGTATGTTTGTCTATAAGCTGCCATCTTTCTTGGTATTTAATATTTATGGTTGAAAGTTCTCTGGCTGAAATTTCTATTGATGCTTTGCAGGTTGTCCACATCTCTTCAACCTCGTTGCCCAGGTAAAACCTAGAACTAATGCATACGGTTCTTCATGTGTCTAGTTTAATGCTTTTGTGGCTTCCTAATTGCCCACAAGAGGAATGCTTATTAAAGGATGATCGAGTTTTATTTATTTATTTTTTTTTAATTTTTCCCCACTGCTAGTATGTAGTGCATGAGTCATTGTTCTGTTAGTCTCTGGGTCTCAAAGTCATATTCTACACAAGTATGGTATTACTAGGAATTCAGATTGAGACACATACTCATCATATATTGCAACATCAGACCTCACGATCCTGTAAAAAGGATTTTGGTGTGTTGGAAGCTCACTTGTTTAGTTTTACTTCTGAGGTTCCGTACATCTACTTCTACAAGAGATTGAAATCCACAAGGAACAACCAAAGTTTATTAAAGCCGTCAGTGGGATTCAAATAAAGGGTAGCACATTCTAAATTTCTAATCCAGAGGAATCCAGCCAGTACCATCTCAATTAGAGATGACGGGGGTGTTGATACTAGTTCATCTATGCCATGCATTAATTTTTTCCCATTCACTAAAAGACGAGGCCATTATCAAATATTGATTTTTGCATGGAAAATCTGAACACGTTATATGCAGCCGTGTTTCTACTTAAAAGGATCATTATGCTTGTTGTCTTGTTTCTTTAACATTTAAATTAAACAAGATCTGCAGAACAATAGTCCGCAGCTTGTTACTTCCTATTTCTCTTTTTTGCTGTTGATTCCAATCTTGTGGCATCAATAACTCTAGTTTCCTCTTAATATTAACTCAATTTCTATGTATATTTCATTTTAAAGAAGGATGATGGAAGTAATAGCCAGAAAGAATTCTAGGTTACTCCCCCCTCCCCTCCCACACACACACACACACAAAGTAGCCATTTGCATATTTGCATTACACTGCCAAACATACTGATTCTGGTCTTTTTGAATCTCGAATGGTTCAGGGCCTCAGCAGTTTCCTGCAGTCTTTCCACCTCCTACTACATCTACTCGGGATTCCATATACGCTCCGGCATCAGCACCAGCACCATCACCCTCACATGCTCGGGGAGCTAGGGTGCCTGGTTCCACAGGTGCAGTTTTACCACCTCTAGGTTCATTTCCAGGCAGTGGACCTGCTGCAAGCACTGCTGGGATTGCTACCTCAGGCTGCTCGGTGGTGAATCCATTTGCTACCTCCCAAGTCACAGTTGCTTTATGTGTGCTCCTTGTGTGCCTGGGGGCTCGTCAGGGCTTCTGATATTCTACCACTTTGAACTTGTTTGTTGTATCTATGTGACTTAATTGTAACAATTACTAATTTTTGGATGCCTGATGAGAATTTTTTTGTATCGGTAGAGCATTTGGTTAACTCATCATGTAATTCGATATTTGTTCAATGACTAGTGAGTTTCTACTATCGGCAATTATCACCTTTCTTGATAATGTCTTGAAACTTGAATTAGAAGCCGGACGTTGCTTTATGTTATTCCTTGTTCATTTTAGGTTTACCTGTGATAATTTTTTGCTTTGCTCTTATCAGTTAAACAAAAGTGCACCATGTTTCAGCTTTCATTAGTTTTTGCTCTACGAATACAAAAAAATTCTCATCTGTCTATATGCGCATTGAGATGGAAAGAAGTATACTGTCTGCTTCTCCAGATCATGAGGAATTACAAAGTTCTGCTGCAGCTGGCTTCCAAACAATGATACACTTTTACTCGGCATGATTGTCAGGCACACCATTCTCGGGCTGCTGGCATCAGTCAAGTAGTTATCTTTAGGCAGCTCCAACACCAAATCCTTAAAGTGGAATTTTAGTTTGGGGAAACTGTGGCTCGAAGCATTTTTATCAGCAGGTGTACGAAAGCACAGATCCAGGTCTGTATACGAGGAGAAAACAACAGACAGCCTTGTGCGCATCACAAACTCTTGCTTCAATACCTGGTATGCTTCTTGCACCAAGTTAGTGTGGTTCCAGTGTCGAGAATCATCCCACCAATTCCATCTTTCTTCAACTCAAATGTGGATTTCATTAGCAGAAGAAGAGTATCATCAACAGATATCCCTTCCAGAGATACATACATAGTATCGAGATGGTAATACTGGTTTTTCGAGAATTGTACCCTGAGAATTACTAGCATTACAGCCCTCATCTGCCAGAGACCCAAAAGAAAGGGTACCCTTTTTGTTTTCTCCTAGCATAGGCAAGCAATACGATAACTTTTTCACCTTAAGCTGTGAGACAAGGGACAGAGGGCCACGTCCTAGACCTATAATGCCTGCTACAGTGTCTAGACCGGACCCTCCATTGTTATTCCACAGCCAAATCCTATGCTCGGTATAGACACATTGTGTGTCGAGTCACCTAGGATGAAAGTATCCGTTGCTAGGTACCCTTGTGTGAAAGACATATCCCCGTATAAGGTCCTATATCTACACAAATTATTCGTGCATTTTTTCGTTTTAGAGGCACATAAAGGGTTGGAACAAGGGAGAGGAGAGAAAGAGGACGAAGCATTAGGGTCAAAAATAGGGGTGGCTTGACTGTAGCAAGCCATACAAGGCATGCATTGTGTCCACACAAGATCACTGCCGGTGTCCATGATGGCAGGAAACTGCCTAGGAGGAGCCCCAAGAGACACGTTCATAATAAACTCGCCATCAGCTTGAAGAACTAATGACTTGAAACTAGGAGATGGTGTAGGGTTCGCGGCTTGTGTGTTAAACCCTTCAAGCTTGATGGTGCTTTGAGATGTTTGCAAGACAGGTAGTTTTAACCTGGAATTAATACGGGCAATATCAACTCGAAAGCTCACTTGGGGAGAAGAAGTGACTGTAAGTGAAGTGGATATTGTCAATGCTAATGGAATGAAATTGAAGATCATAAGAATAATTGGTGAAGCGAATTGTAGTAGGGGTGGGTTGAGCATGTTGAAAAGATGGCCACCAATGAAATGGAGATGATGCAAATGCAAATAAAGATCCATTGACATATATTCCTTTGGTTATTGTTGTGGAGCGTTACCTAAGAGGCTCAGAGTAATAGCCTTTATACCTATAATATAGTCGTGTTTATATTTTGTGTGTCAAAATTTAAAGCAACTTACTAGTGAAATAACAACTTTGTACTAGATTGATGTGCACTATGGCGTTATATAAATGCCATTGCACCTAATTTCCCACTAGTATATACTTATGGCGTTATATAAATGTTATTGCACCTAATTTCCCACTAGTACAAACTTATTTCTTTCTTTTTAATTGCAACATAGGGGAGTTACACAAATGCACGGTAATATATGAGAGTAGAGAGATAGAAAGAGTAAAAAAAAAAGTTGACTAATGTGATGAGGAGAGAGATAGAGAAAAACATTGTCCAAATAAAGTAATGTTACAGTTAATTTATAACTTTCCTAAAAGGAATACATTGCGATTAAAAAATAACGAAGGAAATATACATTAACGTTACATGCTCAAATTTCAAACATATCACAATTTTATGAAGCTTTTGAAATTAAAATTGTTTTTTGATATTTTAGTTTTTAATATGGAGTTAATTTCAATTAAAATTGGGGATATTGAGGGAGTTTCCGTCATTTAAAGTTAATTATACTAGTGTCTAAAGTGTGGCTAAGACTCCAGAACTAATGTTTACTCATAGTTTAATTTGGACTACCCATAATCTTCTCAATAAAATACTGCTAATCCATTTTTTTTTGGTCAAAATTTAAGAGCAAGAATAATTTGATAGACCTCATGCATGGATGGCGTAAGACTCATAACTCATAGATTCATAAAGTAAGTCCATGCTGTGAACGTTTTCTATGCTTGTTCATTGATGTTACTATTAAGAAGTTCAGATATGTTACGAATTCTTGTATGGAGGTATCAATAATGTGTTGCAAATTGGTTTAAGAGTGATTTTCTCAAATTAATTTCTTTGAATGACAATTAAGTGTTACATCCTCTGGTTTTTTTTATTAGTTGACACACTTTGATTTTGACACTATTTACATAAGTTACTTTGACTTCTTTTTGTGATTTACTACGTATATTTTAGTTTTGTTAGATTCGTCTTAATGTATAATATCCGAACATCATTTTGTTATAATTTTGCATTAATAGCTGAAGATATTAATGTTTGAAAACATTCATTGACAAACATGTCAAAATATATATGAAAATCATTTCTACAACAACATATCAAAAAACAAACTATGTTCATTTTAAAAAAATTAAGATTAAACAGACTTGAATTTATAATTCATATAAGAATGAAATTCATCTTTTTTCTATACTTGTATAAGGGTATAAACTACGTGTATTTTCAACCTTGACGACACTAATACGCTCATAGCTAAACATATGCTTTTCACAAGAGCAACTTTCTTGCGTTTAACAAGGCATCAAAAACATCCATATTGAAGGCAATAATCTTATAGTTATCAACTCAATTAAAGTTTTATGGGCGGCCCTTAACACATTGATTATATTTTCTTAGAAATGAATTTATAATTCGCGAGGACGGTCTCTTAATGTTCCTTTTTTTCCTTATTTTAAAATAAAAATCTGAAAAATTAAGTTTAATTTTCATATACTTAGTTAAGAAAAATTCATCATTTGAATGCGATTCAACTTACTTGATCCTAACCCAACCGGACCCGAACCGACCATTGCCACCTCACTCGGTTAGAAGGACATAACACAACTATACAACTACACAAGTGAACAAGTGAAGTCATCAAAATAAATTCAAGTCAGAAAATACTCACATCGGCGGCAATGGCTCCGATTGCTTCCAAGCTCTACACTGGTAATCATCAACACTCTTTCTCTCTCCTCCTTCAATTCATCACAATTTTTCCCCCATAATAAACCCTAACAATCAAAAATCCCCAAATTCAAACCTTTAATTTTTGAATTTTTGCAGACGATGTAAGTTTGGTGGTACTATTACTCGACACCAATCCATATTTCTGGACTTCATCTTCTATCTCGTTCTCCCATTTCCTTTCTCACGTAAAACCCTAAACCCTAAATTTTCACTTTCCTTAATTTTCTTCATTATTTATTCATTCGTAATAATTCTATCTTTTTTTTGCAGATTCTCTCATTTGTGAATTCAATTTTGCTGCTCAATCAGCTGAATCAAGTTGTGATCATTGCGACTGGTCACAATACTTGTGGTTACATTTACGATTCGTCGTTGTCGTCGGTTTCGTCATCGATTTCTTCCAATCAGAGCTCCGATGATGTTAAAATGCCGGCTTTTTGCTCGGAAGTGCTCAAGAATTTGGAGGATTTTGTGAGTAATGATGAGAGTTTGAGCTCTGTTGGTGCTGCTAATGGCGTAGGTTCCTCTCTTTTATCGGGTTCCCTGTCTATGGCTCTTTGTTGTATCCTTTGGTTCGATTTTTCGAGCTTTTTGGTTGTTAATGAATGTTTAATTTTGAGGACATTGTTGGTTTTGTTTGCATTAATTTGTGGAAAATAGATGTTCAGCGTGTTTTTCGATCCGGGCCGCTTCATCCTCAGCCAAGGGTGAGTTGCTTGATTGTATTTTGTGTTTGTAGGTTTTTAGTCTTGTTTGTGTTTCATCATGTTATGTACTTTTGAAATTTGATATGTATCAAACGTGGGCTTCAATATGTATGAAAAATCTCAATTTTGTTGAAGCAATTTTTGGATTTTGTGATATTTGCTCAGTTGCATGAACTTTTATTAAAATTATAAGCTAGTTGCATTCTGTATAACTGTTGTTAAGTATTTTTCAATTACTGCTATGTTGAGTGGACCTTTCATGCCTCTCCAAAGCACCTGCATTCATACATGGCACCGCGATAAAGTGTAAAACTTGGACATTTCTCAGCTGACGTAGTTGTTTGTGATTTTGGCTGTGGACCTGAGCAGTATGTTCTTTTCTTTTTCATTCCTTTATTCTATTATATAAATTATAAAGTTAACATTGGCCTTTAATTTTTTTTTTTTTTTTTTTTTTTTTTTTTTGGCCTTTTTCAGATATGTTGCTGTGATGAATTCCATATTTTCAGCTCAGCGTTCCATGGTACCTTACTCATTCAGTACTCAAGTTAATTAGTTTGTGTAATCCCAATTTTTTTTTTTCCCTTGTCATGGGTTGATAAAGAATCTATTTGACCAATATATATGGTGAAGCTTCACCATGAGTCTTACGTGGTAAAACCAAGGAAGCTTAATGCAAATTCCCTGCTCTTTTTCTGATAACCCAACAGTTTTGTGAGACCATGGAAGCTGATTAACATCATATTCTAGTTGTTTCTCTGCCACCATAGTGCCTGCTTTGATGCCCCAGTCCCAATTATGAGATTGATTGGAAGCTACAAAACAAAGAGCAGGGAGAAATAGTTCAGTAGCTGTACCTATAGTAGTACGCAGCAGAGTACACAGCAATCTACTTTACATCTTAAACTCTTATACTAGTAGTTATTTTGCTAATTTGGTAGACTGTAGGCCGTGTAGGGGCAGTGTTTGTCTAGTAGTTAATGCTTCACTAGGGAGTATGACTTAGTGATGCCTTTGTGATATTGGAGCCGGTGGGAATCTCTTAGAGCGGTGATGACAATTTATTAATATTTTTGGTAGATTGCTGTTTTAGAATATACTCCCTTTGATTCATTTATATGTCATATTGGAGATAGGATTGCATATAAAGAAATTAATGAGAGCTCCGTTTTTTTTTTTTTTTTTTTTTTTTTTTAAAGAAAATAATGAGAGCTCCCTTGATTATGTAGTTTGAGCTCTTTTCTATTTTATGGTTTCAGACTTTCTTTTGATGGACATCTCCAATTTCTGCACTCCTAGACATTATATGGAATATTTCATACTCCTTGTCATGATGCTGCATATTACAGTCTTCCTTTTGTTTCCTTTGTTTCTCTTTCCTGATGTTTATGGGGTCAAGATGAAAGAGTCCTCAATAGTGGTGAGTTGGTGTCGGTTAGATACATTTCTGGAATATTGCTTAGAATGACTATTGCTAACCTAGAATGAACATTATTGATTTAGGACCAAATCCACCCTTCCAAGACAACATTTAACATGGATTTCATTATGCGGAATCCTCAGAATCTTCTTATTTGAAGGTTATTCTCATTATGCGGTGATAACTTTAGAGGACTGTATGCTAAAAGATGGTTTCAGGTTGGTCTCTGCTACAGGTGAGCTTGTATGAGTACAAATGGCTGATGTGGTATCTAGCAATGGATTATTATGAAAAAAAGTTAATAATATTTGGGTGAACATGCATTGCAATGGATATTGGCATGATACTTTCCATACAAATTTACATATATACTCGTTACTATTACTATATTGGGGTGAACATGCATTACAATGGACATTGGCATAAGACTCTCCATACAAATATACATATATACTCATTACCATTAGAAACATTTATTGCTGTAAACTAAACAGGGTGCTTCAATTGACCTAAAGATTGAATTGAACTTTAGTTCTACTATAACTTGGATGGAAGAGAGGGATACTTCTCGCCTTGCAAATGTTAAAATAGAATTCTTTCTGAAGCATTAATATCTTCTTTTTTTTTTTTTTAATTTTTTTTGGCTTTATCTTCCGATCTTGTGTGTGTTTTGCTTTTTTTTTTTTTTTTTTTTTTTTTTTTGGTTCAACAAAAACCTTCTGAGGCCTTGATTTCTACTGAACTGGATTATCTTTTAATGATAAAACTGATTTGTACCGATTAAAACATGTTAATTGATACACTAGTATTATATGAAATTTCTGATTCTAAAGATCAAAATTGATATTTAATGAATAAAGATTATTCTAAGGTGAAGGGAACTAGTCATTGCACCAATTTCAAGTTCTGGCTGTAACGATGACCCTACCCTCATCCTGAGCCCAAAGAAAGACACATTAAATATAATCAACGGCTCTTGTTTGATCAATTGATGTCTACGAATTTGATAAGTTTGGTTATATACATGTAGGTCCCGATTGATTCTTGTGTTATAGGAGCACAGCATTCTGCCTTCTTGCAGCAGGTAGTGCGTAATGCTTTTTCCTCAATGATTTTGTTTTTGTAGTCCATTTAGATGTTTTAAATTCTATTGTATTTGATATGCAGGCGTCTTACATTACTGGCGGGGTCTATTTGAAACCTCAGCAACTCGACGGGCTATTTCAGTATCTTTCTGTAAGTTATTTGTTGTTCTTATCAATAATGCACTCAGTTTCTACAATATTATCTGCCCCCCTCCTATAATTAGGGGTATGTCGGTGTGGTTGAACAGTTGACACAACTGTAGTTTGGCCTTGGTTATTGCAGGGACTGTTTCCTTCTTTTTTCTTGTTGTGGTGGGGAGCTAGTTCTCTCTCTCTCTTTTTCAATCTTACTGCTCCAGACTTGATATACTTTTACGCTTATAATATGCAGACTGTTTTTGCTACTGACTTGCACTCGAGGAACTTCATACAACTTCCTAAACCTGTAGGCGTTGATTTTCGTGCCTCGTAAGTTTTTTTTATTCCTTTGCATTAGCTCAATTGAAGCTTTCTTATTACTTTTGTAGTTTTGTATACATGATACCTAGATATGATGTTGCTATAACATAGTGTTTTGTGCTTTGCATGTTTCAATATGTGCTTGGCCACTTTCTCAATATTGTGTGCTAATGTCTGCTATTCAATTTTCCAGGTGTTTTTGCCACAAAAACACGATAGATATGGGTTACATATGCTTGGTATGCTTGTCGATATTCTGTATGCACCACAAGAAATGTTCTACATGTGGGTGAGTAACATTTTTCTCAGCAGCTAAATTGAACAACTTTTGCAGTATTTCGAATTAGTGCTTAGCAAACCTAGTATGGTCAAAGGATCATGCTTAGCAGTTGTATAAGCTGTTTAGTTTATTTTAACTGTTGCCCACTATATTGCAGGGGATAATTCTCTTTGTTGTGGATTTGACATAATTTTAGTTCTTCACATTCACTTGTTCTGCCCAGTATAGTTAACTGGAAAACTCCTTTACCTTCCATTGAACTTGTCATCTAGTTATTTAGAGAACTACCATACCTTCCATTGGACTTGTCATTTGGTTCATCTGCTCAAGATCAGTGTGTGCACTGTGAAGTGAAGTGCCTTGTAGTCTTGTACAAACTTTTTTGGTGGATTCTACATCTTGCTATTTCTAAACTATATTGTTTGGTGTGTGTGGGGGTGGGTTTGCAAGGTTTTTTTTTTTTTTTTTTTTTTTTTTTTTTGGCAGGGGTAAAAAAGACGTGACATTTACTTTCTTGGGACAGGGTTTATTCTCAGATTTTAGTCACATTCCTGTATTGATCTCCCTTTACATTTCTGATTGCTTTTCTGTTCTCTGCTTTCTGCATCATAATTTGAGAAAACAGGTCAGTTTATGGCCGAGCCCAGTCAGATGCATCATCAGTATCAGGTCAGAAGAGAAAAGATCCATCATGATACACGTGTTCAGTATTTCTGCTCAAATTTTTACTCAGCGCAAATGATGGTATTGGCAAATATCTTATATCCTATAGGGGGCATGATCCTTAATTCATCTAGATACTTAGATATTATCTCCCTTTTCACCTTTGATCAATCTAATATGTGAGCCAAATTTACTTGCAGGGTTTCAATCATTTGCTGCTATATGCTTACATGGCTCCATGAAGCTTCGTTTATGAGAGTCCAAAAACTGTTAAGCATGGTCAATTCTGTTATTCCTGGTATAAGCAGATATGAAATGATACAGGATCACTACACAATTTTCTGATACTGCAATTTCTTCTGGTTAGGCATAGTTGGTTAGATTATGTTTTTCTCCCTATAGTTCTTTGGCGATAAATCATATGCTTTATTTCTTTGTAGCTTTTTATTAATATCAGATAACTAAGTTGATTGTTTTGAAGAGTGATAATAACAGCAGATGTTGCTATGTTTTGGATAACTTTACGTCTCTTTTTGTACAATGTTTTTTCCAAAGACTAGGTATGTATTTAAACACGTGTAATTAAAAAGATCTAAGAAAAATATTCAGGCTTGAAGTTACAGGTCCATTAGATCTGAACAAATATCTAGCTGGATAGTATGATCCCATGTGCCATTATTGAATCTATAGTGTCCCACCCATGTTATTTTTAAGGATAACCCATTGGCTTTGTATCTGATTTTGATCCTATTTTTATACAAACTATCTGGGGCTGCCCCTTCAATCTATCCTATACAGCATTCCATCCATGGAAGAGAAGGAACTCCGCCACCCCCTCCTCCCCTTGGCAAACCATGCTGACGCCACAATAACCACCACCACTGGCTTTGTGGGTCCGACATCAAACGACAGTGACAAGACCATCTCATCCTGCTTTGGTTTATCTGCTCGTCTCCTTGTTATATTCTTAATTGGTGTTATCTCCATATGGGCATCCCATGAGGCATCAAAAGGATTTGCGATCACAGCCGTTAACAACATGAAGGATACACCAGCGGGAGAGAAATTCACTCTCTTCTTCGTCTCCAATGATGAAGCCATCCGACTAGTTCAAAGTTCTTCCACTTTTGCTGCTGAAATTCTTTTTCCTGGTGATGGTAGCATACCTGAGAAGCTCATCGCCCAGGTCGATGTCCAACTAGTCAGCCACAATCTAACCAATGATCATACAGTTGCTGTCAAGTCTTTGGGACAAAAGAGCAAGTATATACTCTTCATAAATCCTCTTGTCATGGAATTTGGTGACTTCAGGTACAGAATCAGAAAGGAAATTCAAAAAGGCATGGCTGAAATTTTGCTGTTCAATAGGCAACACACAGCTCCGAAGACCTTGCTAGCTGGAATGGTTGAATATATAAGCGATTTGGCCGGTTTTGGCAGTCCAAAGCCGGTATTCAAGCCGAGAGGTTTCAGCGCAAAGTGTTGGGAAGAAAAGAATTCAAGAATAGTGGCAAAGTTTTTGGCTTACTGTGAGAAGAGAAATGAAGGATTTGTTGGAAGATTGAACCAAGAAATGAATAGAGATGGTTGGTATGAGAAATTAATGGATAAAGTACTTGAAATGCCAGCCATGCATTTTTGTGTAGAATTCCATGATTTCATGATCAAGAATGAGGGTATGACTGAGTGATGCTCTGTCTGAGCTGTCCTGTTCTAGCTTCTGTAAATTCTTTGTATTTTTTACAATTTTTTTTTGCTGTTCTATTATACGTATATGGTCAATTAATACGGAGTACAGAGTATAATTTATGAAGATACTGAGTACCTTTTTTTTACAAAAAGATAGATCTTGATCTGTAGTCAAGTAGGCAGCTTTGTTTATTGCAAATTGTTATATCATTAATTATTATTATTATTAATTAATGGGAAGGGGGAACCTCGTATCTTACCGTAAAAAATATAAAAAAATAAAATCCATTCAGAATAGTTCAGCTTGATTCAACCCAGAGAAAGTGAGAGCTAATTCCCTCGGCATTAGAATGTGAATACAAACTTGGAGAAGAATCATTAAATTGAAGAAACAATGAACATAAACATTTCCACTGAGAATCTCATCACATAACAAAGAAAATCAATGTTATTTACAACTATTTACAGTTAGTTAGTGAACTAGACAACACACTAAGTTCAAGAAGACAAATGAAAACAATCCCAACAGCGTGCATTATTAAGACGGTCATCTTCAAATGGCCTTGATTCACAGGGACACTTCAAAGTAAGACAATAATCTTCAACAGCCTTGATTCACAGGCACACTTCGTAGTAAGATGGTAATCTTCAAATGGCCTTTAGTACAAGTTTACTAGTATGATGAACCCCATGAGCAGCAAGTTTCAGCACTGCACGGCTTTGGTACAACCTACACAGAGGAAAGCATATGAGCACAAGGCACAATTAAGTGAATGTGTTAATTCAAAGCCAAAAAGCTGTAGCCTGCTTCGTGGTTCCTACTTCAATCATTATCAATTATCGCACAATCTAAACTATTGCCCAGTTAATGCATAAGGCACGACTATTTCAAAATCCTTTCAAGTATTTCTATGTTAAGTATGGCTGTGCCTAAGGGCATATGGCACCTATCGGCCATCCTATCCTACTTTTTACATATGACACAAACAAGAATCAAACCCGACCCAAACAGATCAATTTGTAATTATACACAATTATGCACCTATCGGCTATCCTGTCCTACTTTTTACATAATTTTTTATGTATTCGGTGAACCACTAGAAATTGACACAAAATCAAACATAAACACAACCCGTATACCTGCTTTGCCAGCTCTAGGAAAGACTACATGTGAAAAAGTGAAGCATAAATTGATAAAAAAGATAAGAGGTTCAGCCTGTTGCACAGCAGAGAGAGGCTAATCAAATAGCTGACTCACTGGCAATCTGGCACCCAGTGGAGAGAGAGAGAGATGAGGCAGCAAAAAAAAAATACTGTATATGTCATGGGAAGGTAAAGGTAAAGTTCCTATATTTCTTGATCACTGAATCATGATAAAGGCAAGATTCCATACCAAGCAGCTACTACACAAAGAATAGACCCCAAGAAAAATAACTTACTAAAATATTGCAATCCTGTTTTGTGTAGTACACTTTTACAACAATTTTAGGAAGAATAATTTATTATTATCATCGAAAATTATTAGATTAAAATTCGGAGTTGTAAGCACAGCCCACGTTCTAGCTAGGTAATTAGCGTTAATTGGTCAAAATATTTCCGAATTGAGAGGGCAGACACTTGAATTTACACTGATATCCATTACTTGTCTCCATGTTCAACAATGATAGGGCAAAAATGGTAGGTGAGTGGAGGGTTGTCATGTTTACTTTCAAGAAAAAAAATATAAACTTGAAAATTAAAGAAAGGGGGCATGGAAAATGTATTTATGTGGATATCAACTGACCCTGCGATAGCAAGTCCCCATGTAGAAAGGGCATAGAACAGCTTCCCAGCATGCCATATACTCAGCATCTTCTCAACCTTATGAAATCCACCAAGTGAGCTGGTCAAAGCTGCAACGGTTAAAGCCACACATCAGTACATAAATTACAACAGCAGAAATCAATGTAACGGGACATCTCGACACTTATAAACAAAGGTTTCCTCATTTGATTCACAAACATCTTATAAAGGAAGGGCATATGTCATGTTGTCTTAAAGAGGTACCAAAAGGCTTACTCTAGGGGCTTTTGTCAAGAAAAATTAAGATCACGTTATATGAAGATCCAAAAGTTGGGCACTCGAGATCCATTGGATAGCAGATTATGTCATTATGTCAAGATCAGGGATGTTAAATTGCCAATTCCTTTAAAGGAAAACTACATAGTTAGATAAAAAGTTCCCAATGCCTGTAACTTCAGCCCACACTTGTTTTATCAAAACCATTGTAAGCAAGACGAATAAAATTAATTGCAGGGCATGAACAAACAAACCGGTGAGAGCAACCTTAGAGATGCAGTGGAATGGAAATTCTACAGATACCAATGTCTAAAAGAGACTTATTTTATACTCCGTAGAATACAAATATCATATATTAATGACAAATGGTTCTACGAAAGTAATGAAAAGCCAATAGCCAACATAAACTTACCTTTCTGTAGCTGCTCTGGAGTCAATTTCTGCAACTTAGGATTTGACACAATACATCTAGCAAGGAAGTTGGCAACACCATCCACCACCTGTTCCTCACAGACTATAACATAGTTTTCATCATCTATACCACTGCGTTCCTCAACTTTTCCAGGAGCCATGGAATCTGTAACCCACACCCACCAACTAGGTCCTTCTTGGTCAACATTGATTAAAACTTCAACAGCTTCCAAGTCTTCTCCTGCCAAGCAACAATTAACCATCAAAAATCAGGATTTACGGCAATATATGGTAATACTGTAATACTTCTTCTCATTGTACGAACTATAATGTTGTTACTACAAATGACAACAGACCTGTAGGCTCTTTGAAAGGAAACTCCTTTGCAGTCCCATTCACCGATCCATCATGGAGCGACTGAAGTCGAGTCAAGAAGCTTTCAGAATCTACAGCAGTCACAAGACGCTCGTGAAGCTGCATTCACAACATAAAACAAATTACATAATTAGCTAATATCACATTCCAATACAGAGTACCAAACACCGATTAAGTTCATTCCTCCCATCCTCCTTGGTCCTAACAAGGCTCACAACAATTCCTGATCCATCAACCTCATTGCTATTGTTCTAAATCATATAAAACATATAGCAAATTGCTTAGCATAAATCTCCCTCAATCTCTTCAAAACAATAATCCTCTTCTAAAACATAATCTCTTTTAACATAGTTCGATAAGGGGAACCGGCGATTTTCCTTTCCAGCCACCAATCACTCCATAGCTATATAATCATCATCATTGGAAACACAACACGAAAAGGCGGCAAGGGGCAATGGAAATTTCCCTTTCACCAATAAATCATTTCAAAACAACACACTGATCATCTTTCGAAGCGTAATTCCAAAGGGGGACATGCAATTTTTCTTTCAATCACTTAGAACCAGTATAATTATCATCTTTCGAAGCATAAATCTGAAGGAGCAGGCAATTCTCTTTCCTATCATCAATCCCCAATTACAAAATTCCCAAAAACACAGCAAAAGGCTAAAAAGACCAAATCTTTTAAGCTTAATTTCGTCATAAGATTTATATCTACCAAATTACAACAAAAAATCAAGATTCTACCAAAAAATTAACCAAAATTACTTCCCAAATCCCTAAATTCCCATACCCAAATCAAACAAACCCAAAAACACAAAATCAAAATTAAGAACATACATCAGGAGGGCAATCTTGAAGAAGGGAAGGAGAAGAAGAAATCTTCTGAAACAACTTCAAATTCTGCTCCAATAATTCCTTCAATCGTCTATTCTCTGTTCGAATATCCTCGAATTCTTCGACAGTAAGAGGGGCATTAGATTCAACGGCGGAATTATTAGGGTAATCAGAGTGGTTGTTGTGATGGAGGAGCTCAGCGGCGCACCAAGCGAGCTCCGCCACCTCGACCACGATCTTCGCCGCTTCTACCGCTTCTTTAGCGTGACCCATTGATTTCTCCTGTTATTTTGGATAAGGTGTTCTTTACTCAATTGGGGATAACAATTTTCACAAAACTTCTTTCAACATATTGATGTGTTTAGAGAACTGTATTTATGAGTTTGTGTACATGTCGAATTGGTCCTAACTTGACTCGACTCGACGTATATCAACGAATATCAATAAGTCAATAACCATGTGTTCGGAAACTTAATATTAGAGTGAGAAACGTTGTTAAAAAAAATACGTAGTATACAATAACCAAAGTGAAATCCACTAAAACATTAATGAATCTATAACAGTTTCCAATGGTTGTTAAACGACACCAATGGACAAACAAACTCTCGAGTGTATTTCATGTTTTTTTTCCTTGGCCTCTAACTCAATCTAACATTCTCCCCTCCCAACAATCCACCACCGACTGAGGGTAAGGTCATCGAACACATCGTCGGAGTTAAAGTTGTTTTTTTTTTTGGGTGGAGGCCAAATGCCTAATTTTTTCAAAACTTTAGGGGATAAACGCTTAGAATTTTCAAAAGTCCCTAGGACCTAGAATTTTCCAGTTTTTTTGCGTTTTTTGTTTTTATCCTAATTTTTAATCTCGAACTTAAATTAAGACAAATAGTATATCATTGGAAAGTTATGAAAGTTTACTTTCTAACCCAATTGAAATCAAGTCAATATCATTTCTAAATCTTACTAATATCTCATATCCCATATGGGTATTTCTTTTTAAATACGGCTAGCATTCTATAAATATATTTCATATGTTGAAGCAAAATGAACGAAATCCCACGCATCACTAGCGTAGGCTATATAATCAAAAGGATACTATTATCAAGCACTCCCACCTCCCGGAGTATGAAGTTTGAAACGAATGTCAAAATCATGTGTTGATCGATGTGATTAATATTTATTTTATTTAGTATTTTTAATATTTTTACTTTTAGCTCTCTTATTTAACACCCTAAAAAGTGATTGTAAGTTTTTGTTTAAAGAAAATGCTATATTTAGCCCTTAGAGCTACATATAACTATATAAGGAGCTAACGTAGCTCTTACAACTACATATAACGAGCTAAAATTAGAAAAAATAAATGAAAATATAATATTAATTACACTAATTTACACGTAATTTTATCATACATTTTTAAATTAATACTAAATTAAAAAATATATTAAATATTTATGTAGCATTACTCCTTTATATAATCAGAATTCGGAATTTAGTCTATCCAACCCAAAATAAAACATATGGCGCAATTTTTTTCAAGATGGAGGGTAATTTTTAAAAGATGTTTCATTGTCAAAAATTCGAAATTCAAAAAGACAAAAAATTCTCATAGAAAATAGAATAGTACTACTTGTATGCGCAAAAGTCCACACACGGCAATAAAAAAAAAAGAAAAAAAAAAAAAGAAAAAAAGTGACTTCACTCTTCCCTGAAACCTGCTGACCTCATTTTCCACAAACCTCTATTGAGCAAGAACATCCTCTAACAATGGCGGAAAAAGCTCAGGATAACCAAACGGCGCTCGATATCGAGTCACAAATCAAGTCCGCCATTAATTCTCGTTCCTCTTACTTCCAAGAACAAGCCGAGTAACTCCTCTTTCTCTCTCTCTTTAATCTTCTTCTTTACTTTCTAGAACATCTTCGGGTTCTATTTGATGTTAATTTTTGTTGTTTGAGTTTTTGATTGATGATTTTTGATTTTGTTTTGTGATTTGTGAAATGAATTTGCAGTTCTTTGACGTTTGAGAAAGTGCGAAGGTTACTTGAGAAGGATTTAGGGTTAGAGACTCACGCTTTGGATACTCATAAACGATTTGTTAAACAATGGCTTCAAACGGTAAATTTTTTTTGGATGATTTGTTTGTGATTGATTGTATTGTATTGGAGTGTGGTGATTATTGTTGTGGGAGCTAAATTTTGATTGATTTTTAGTGTATTTGTAACAGATCTTTGGTTAATGTTGGATTGTTGATACTTCTTTAAGCTTTATGCAGTAGCGATTACGGATTCAAGTTCTAATTTTGTTTAGTCATTGTTAATTTGAGCTGTTTATTGCTGATTATAATGCATTTAGTGATTTGGCTTGTTATTTAGCTTGGTTTGGTTGGAGAAAGGACGAGTCTTGCTTAAGTAAGGGTGTTGGGGAATGCTAATTGTTTATTTTTTTTCGATGTCTTAGTATGTGGTAGCAAGTTTTGCCATTTTGGGGTGTTTGTAAAAGGGGCAAGATGATTGTTTAGTTTCTTCATGATTGATAAGAATTGGTGAAAGTGTGTTTTCAAACATAGAAGCCGAGATTAGTTAGAGAGTGGCAGTGTCAGAAGAAGCATGGAGCTATTGATTTTATTTGGAAGGTTGTGAGACAGCTTATGACTATAGATATATATTCCAGTGATTTGATAAACTTAACATCAATTTCTTATTATATAATTGAGGGTTTTTCTGATAACTGGACACTCTTATATGAATAATTTTTTAAGTGGCAATTTATTGCCTAAGATGACCCTATATATAAGTGGATGTTTTGTTATTCCGTTTTCCCATATATGCCTGATAAGATTTCATAAGAAAATTGGTGAACTAAGTAGTGGATTGAGTTAAGCTGTTATGGGGAAGGAAATGGTAAATTGACTGGTCTAGCTTACTGTCATCGGGCAGCACTGTCTTCTATAATAATCTTAGGTCAAATGAAGTGTCTTTAAATGTTAGAAAAGATACGAGAGGAATCTATTGGGTTTATTTGAATGGTAGCTTTATGTAAAAGGAAGGTGCTTTGCAGGCATACTAAACAAGTCAAAACATTTAGAAAATAAGTCCCTGTATTCATGCAAGTGCAGAAACAAATGAAAAAAATCGCTTTATTATTCACGTTTAGGAGGAACGGCATAGGGAAAGGAGGAAGTGTAATCCATTGAATATAGGCTAGAGTGACCAATCAGGGTCATTCCCCTCCAGCTATTTGAGATGAAATATTCTGTGCCTCTTTCTCTCTTTCTGCCCCCCCCCCCCTCTTCCATCCATGTGGTCTTTGGCTATTGGGCAATGTACCTTTCTTTTTAGTTGAATGATTCTGGTTATTCCTGACCTGAAATCCTCTTTAGATAACTTGTTTGCTTTAAACCTTGTTTACTTAAGATTTCAGAAACAATTTTCGTCAATTTAAGTGACCTAGTCAGATCTCAGATGCTTAGATTTTCTTCCTTTATGTCCTTACACTGTAGATAATAATAAACAAGGAAATTTAAGTGAGAGAAAACTGGCCTGCTGATAATGCTACAGCTTCTCAATTAATTTTATAAAAATTGGGTTTCCATGGGAAATAATTACCTTGTCTTGAATTCATAAAGATGATGTTGATGATCAAATACTCAAGGAAATATATGTTGCTCTTCTCTGAATGCTAGTGCATAGAATCTGCTACTTCTGATAACTTGTCCAAGAGCCAAGATGAAGCTGGGGAGAATGTTGTTTCCTCAACTGACGAACCACAACCTGTAGATGATCTTCAAGCAAAAAACGAAGCAGAGGAGGCTAACGCTGGAGGTGTACAAACAATGGAAGACTCTCCTGTTATGGGTCTCATGACAGGTCATAAGAAAGAAAAACCTAATGTTGATGCTGAAGACACTGAAAGCAAACTTGTCCCAGATGAAATCACAATAAAGAAGGCCATTTGGGCTAGAGCTTCTTATCTCAGAGAAAATTCTGAGTATGTCTTTCTATAGCTCAATTTTTATAGCTGTCATCTCTCTCATTCTCTCTTGGAAGGCGGGAGGGGTTTCCATTGTATCTTTTGATGCTCATTTGTGTATGGAAGAGTTTATAGTAAAGAAGATTTTTTTTTTATACTCAGGAATATTACATTGGTTGGACTACGTCGGCTCCTGGAGGAAGACTTAGCATTCAAAAAACATTCATTGGATCCGTTCAAGAAGTTTATCGGTCAGGAAGTGGATGAGGTGAGCTAACATATATTGGAACTCATTTGGAAGAGATAACAAAAAGTGGACGTCTTGAGATAAACATTGCTAATAGGTGTGACACTAATTTTTCAGATATTAAACTTATCTGATGTTCCTCAATCCACTGAGAGTGAGAAGAAGAAGAATTTTAAGAAAAATTCTTCTCGAAAAATCTCTTCCAATTCTAGAAAAGAGGAAACAGCTGCTTCTTCAGGGAATGAAAGTGATGAGGTTGAAGAAGAGGAAGTGAAAGTTAGAAAGAGAAGTGCTACCAAAAGAAAGCCACAGAAAACAGAGTCAGTCAAAAAACGTAAAAAGACCGAGGAGGACACAAAAGGAGCTAAAAGAAAACAAAGTAAGGTTTCAAAATCTACATCAGAGGGAAGTGGTGAGGAGGAAGGCAGACATGTTTCTGACAATGATAATTCTGATTCATCTGCTGAGAAACCTAAGAAGGTGAGATATCTCTCTATCCCTTCTAATTGATGAAATTCTTTATCAATATTATCTTCTATTGAAGTATTTTACTTAACAGAAGAAAGAAGTTCCTAAACCACCCTCATATGGAAAGCAAGTGGAGCGTTTAAAATCAGTGATCAAATCTTGTGGCTTGAGGTCTCTAATTTCTTAGTATCACAATCTTTCAAATTAATGTTAGTAATTGAACAAGTTGTTACCACATGGTTTCTGTTAAGGCTAATGTTATTCCTTTGTTCTTCTGCAGTATTTCCCCTGCTATATACAAGAAAGTTAAACAGGCTCCTGAAAACAAGCGTGAATCCTGCTTGATGAAAGAGCTTGAAGAGATGCTTGCGAAGGAGGGATTGTCTACTAACCCTTCTGAAAAAGGTGAGTATGGTGGTAGAAACTAGAAAGTACGGATTGTACATTTGTGCTTGTATTGCTAGATTGCTATTTACTATCTGTTTTATATTTTTTGGTTGTCCTTTCTTCAACTGTATCTATAAAATTACCATCTACAGCTTAATTGGGCATGAAATTCAGGTGCAATAGTATCATTGAAAGATTTAGACTTTGCATGCATGGGTATATATGATACCATGAGCATCAATGAATGTAAAAAATACCAGAAACAGCCTTCTCATTGGCCAAGTATTTGTAGAATCAAGAGCTTTATTGTTTAAAAACAAGATGTGAACACCCTTCTGGACCTCGTTCAGAATTCTATGGGCTTGCAATAATCTGTTATGTGGACTTATTTCAGGTGCTTCAACATTGATGTATTAATTGGAATATTGGATAAGGTGCAGTTATTTTAGACTAGGGGCTGTAGTAAAGTATTGGTTCAGCTTGCAATGATTGGCTCTTGTGTGGAATAATTAAGCTGTTGGTGCTTGTTGATTCCTCTTCAGGATCTAGCTTTGCTAAATCATTGTCTCTTGGTAATCCATAAATTCACTTGCTGAAAGTGGTGCTACAGCTTTTTCCATTTGGTAACATTGACTACTGAAAGTTTACAACTTACAAATTCCTTCGCTGGATATATTTCAAAATTTAGGAAAGTTAACTGAGCTTATTGCAGTAGGTACTGTATTCACCAATCACTGACATGTGCTAAGCTAGTTCATTCTTAAATTTATTTTGGCTTCACTTTTGTAGATCATTTTAATAGTTACTTTCACACTGGCTGAAGCTTTTCAATTTATGGAGCTTAGGTGCTGAAATTATTCATTGGAGCTTAGGTGTGTGCCTATAAGGTCTCACAATACTTCTGTCTGATAGGAGAGCATGAAAAGGCACATCACTGACTTTTTATTATAAACAGAGATCAAGGATGTAAAGAAAAGGAAGGAAAGAGCAAAAGAACTTGAAGGCATAGATTTAAGCAATATTGTTTCAAGTGGTCGCCGACGATCTACCACCAGCTTTATACCTCCACCTAAGCCCAAAATTCCAGATCTCAGTGAAAGTGAATCAGAAGAAAGTGAGAATGATGATGATGAGGATGAAGAAGAAGAAGGGGATGAGGAAGCAGAAAATGTGGAGGCTGATGAAAACCAGGAGAATGGTGGTAATGACAGTCAAAGTGAGGCATCTGACAAAAGTAATTTTTTTTTTCTCTTCAATTTCATAACATGCCAACCTTCGTTGCCTCTTGGTCCAGGGATTAGAAGCATTTGATTGCTATATTTTGTCTGAGTGGATACTGTATAGTCAATATTGGTCAGTTGAACTACATTCTCACAAACCGAATTACTCCATTGTAGTTTTCTGTGTGATGCTTAGGTTGAGGTCCTAATATTCTGACAAGGTCTCTTCCTGTTATGTGGAAACATTAGCTACAGAAAGAGTTTTGTAATTCTGATGGTTGACTATTGCCCTGTATGCTGTATACTCTTTCATGCTGGTTTTGGTTCTTTCTTCTCTGCAGGTAATAGCGAATAGTGATTGATCCTGGACGGTTCACTTGAAGGACCAATGACGAGGAATTTGATAGGTATAGGATGAATATGTATTTATGCTGCTTTTTTAGTGCTTACAGTTTTCTTAAAATTAGGAAGAGAGTATTTAGTTCACAAATCTGATTTTAGAGGTTGATAAATAGGAACTCTGTCAGAGGAAGATGGCTAGAATTCTGGAAAAAACTTTGTACTCTGCATTTCAAAGATGCATTTTTTTGTTGTGTTATTGGTCATAATTGTTCTATATATTTATATAAGTGGACGGTATTGAAAAGAGCTTTGTATTCTGCAATTCAAAGATACATTTTTTGTTGTGTAATTGGTCATAATTGTTCTGTATATTTTAGAGTCTTGCACTCCATATAAGTTTAATTTACTTATTTTAGTTTAGTGCATATGTCATTCTTAGTTGTGTGATTTGAACTTTGAGTATTGTGTTTGTAATACGTACGTAAATTATGTGATTATACATTTTTACAAGCATGTCACGCGCATTGTATATGTTAGGACGTCGAAGTGGATATGAGTACACTAAGTAGAGTAGATAAACATATAAACATATATAAACATATATATGTTAAGACAAGATATAAACATATATAAATAGAGTAGATATGTTGGGACGTCGAAGTGGATATGAGTACACTAAGTAGTACTTCATAAGTGAACAAAAATTGATCGAATTTGTAACCTTTTAAAAATATGCAAACGCCCAAGATTGTCCAAGTCATAAGATGATTTTGGTAGTTGACTAATTGCGTAGAAAGTTTGCTAAGGGCAAAAACAATCGGGGAGATTGAGTAAATTAAATTAAACCAATTAAGTATTACATGTTATGAATTGTGAGACAATCCGTATGTCTTTAATTTCAACCTGATCAATTTTAACATGACTGTACAAAACATGTCCCTATATAAAATATACCCTATTTCACTTTCACTTTCTTTAACCACTATCTAACTTGTTACCCCATCAACCGCCAAACAACCATCACCTATGAACAACCACCACATCATATTTTTTATTTTAAAAAATTGCTTTACTCTTCACCAATTAGCGCAAACGGTGAATGGACAAGTTTAAGGAAGTAACGACGCCACTGGAAAGATCATCGGAGCCTACGGAGTCTGTGAATGCTCTAAATTTTTGTCGTCTTTTTTTTTTTTTTTTTTTTTTTTTTTTTTTTTACGTCGTAATCATAAAAGGAACGCCTTAAATTTTAGAATCATCCTTGGAACATTTTAAAATTTCATGCATTTAAGGGGGGAAACGCCTGAAGTTTTAGAATGTTCTGGGGGAGATTCTAAAATTTCAGGTGTTCCTTCCATGGAACATTCTAAAATTTTAGTCGTTCGTCTGGAACGACTGAAATTAAAAAAAAAAATTGTAAAACAAGTACCTGATCGCCAACCCCCTTACCTTAATCTTATCAAGGTGCATTTATGATTCTTTCATAAGTTCAGAGTACTTAATTTCCAATTCATTATGAAAAAAAAATTTCCTACACTACATGCATAATTTAAGTGATAAGTTGCATTGACTGACTAATATGAACTACACACCAGTCCACCAGCCTTTGTTTGTGACGATAAAGCAGTATATTATGCACTACAACCAATCATCTATCCTTTCTTGGGAAGAAAATTTCTTATCTTAGAAAGTGAGTTATACACACTACTCGTAATACGCATAATTTGAAATAAGCAAACTTTGGTGTCCCAATTAAATTGGAATTTTAGCCAAAAAAAAAAAAAAAAAACCACAAATAGGAATTAAAATAGAGTAACCAAAACTAGAAATTTCCTCCTTAAACTAAGATGGTTTTAACCCATCTTTCAACATCACAATTTTCAAGTGAAGCTCTCAATCATCCATTATCTTGAATTTGTTGAGACACTTAGGACACTCATTATACATATTTGTCGCCGCCTTAAAAACCGCATTCGCATGCTGTTTCAGGTAGTGCTCATCCATCTTGACCCCCGGATTTTGTATCAATGAGAGGACGAAAATTTCCGAGGGGGTTGCAATAGTAACAAGCAGCAACTTTCTTTTGCGCACTCTCGTCCATTTCTCCCTTCTTCTTAGGCTTGCCACGGTGAAAATTCAAGTGGTTTTTCTTAAATTAACTTTTGTAGCCTAAAACGGAGCATGAAAATAAACAAAGAAAGTAAATTAGCAGCTTATAAAAATTACTTGTAAAATATTTTAAAACATGGTAGAGAATGAGGAACATGAAAAAAAAAAAAAACAGAGACATTAAATCAAAGTCAAAAAACAGGGAAAATTGAAAAAAAAAAAACCTGACAAAGGAAGGTTGGAGGAGTTTGAGAAAACACCTTAGAATGAACAAAATTCATTCTTCTTGAAAAAGTGAACATAGCATTGGAAGTAAAGAAGGTCTTGTTTGATAATACACTTAAATTATTACTTTTTTTTTTCCGTGTATTTTCGCCTCTTTCTCTGTTTATAAACAAAAAAATTAACTACAAATATTTAAAATATCAAGATACAATTGCTTATTTAAACTTGAATTATTTAATATGGGATAGATAAAAAGCTAATTTTGAGTATATTATCAATATACATAATTATATATTTATATGAGTTAACTATATAAGGTATATGTATTTTTACGTAATTTGTTAATTTAAATATTAACAAATTTGTTTCAATAATTATATTGTACGTTACACGGGCAGTGAAGTAGCAATTGAGACAACATTAATGGGGTTCTGAGCTTTCGTAAGCTCTTCTGGTGTTTCCTTCCCACTAAATGCATATTAAGACAATCATTGCTTGTGCAGCCGATTTTACAAACATCACACCATGGTTCATCGATTTTTCTTTATCTCTAAAAGATTGTGCTGTACAATTTGATTATCAGTAAAAAATTCCAAAATATTGGTGAAAATAAATCAGAAAGAAACAAAAGATAGAACTTCGAATTTCACAAACAGTAATGTGCAAGGATTGGATCAGATGAATATCACATAATCTAAATAAAAATAAGATATTAATGGAATTACTAAAATAAATTTATAGTGTAGTTATTAAAAATTAAAAAAGATGGAAATGTATTTTCACGTAATTTGTTAATTTAAATATTAACAAATTTGTTTCAATAATTATATTCTACGTTGCACAGGCAGTGAAGTAACAGTTGAGACAGTATTAATGGGGTTCTGGAGCTCTTCTGGTGTTTCTTTCCCACTAAATGCATATTAAGACAATCATTGCTTCTGCAGCCGTTTTACAAACATCACACCATGATTCATCTATTTTTCTTATCTCTGAAAGGTAGTGCTGTACAATCCGATTATCAGCAAAAATTCCGAAATATTGGTGAAAATAAATCAGAAAGAAACAAAAGACAGAACTTCGAATTTCACAAACAGTAATGTGCAAGGATTGGATCAGATGAATATCACATAATCTAAATAAAAATAAGATATTAATGGAATTATTAAAATAAATTTATAGTGTAGTTATTAAAAATTAAAATAGAAGGAAATGTATTTTCACGTAATTTGTTAATTTAAATATTAACAAATTTGTTTCAATAATTATATTCTACGTTGCACGGGCAGTGAAGTAACAGTTGAGACAGTATTAATGGGCATCTGGAGTTTTTGTAAGCTTTTCTGGTGTTTCTTTCCTACTAAATGCATATTAAGACAATCATTACTTGCAGCCGATTCTACAAACATCACACCATGGTTTATCGATTTTTCTTATCTCCGAAAGGTTGTGCTGTACAATCCGATTATCAGCAAAAATTCCGAAATATTGGTGAAAATAAATCAGAAAGAAACAAAAGACAGAACTTCGAATTTTGCAAACAGTAATGTGCAAGGATTGGATCAAATGAATATCACATAATCTAAATTAAAATAAGATATTAATCAAACTATTAAAATAAATTTATAGTATAGTTATTAAAAAAAAGAAGGAAATGTTGAAAATATTACAGTATAATTGAGAAAAATGGATTAAGTAAATGGAGAAAAAGGTCAAGCTATTTTATTTAATGTATACAACATACCCCTAGTTGAGTACACATGTTTATGCTTTACTCTATCAAGAACACATAAAACTCAATCATAAATCATAAATTCAATTAAAAACAACAAACAAACTTATCCATTTTTCAGAGAAAACGAAAACATTCCACAGAATAAGTAACAGGGGAGATTGTTTGACAACCTAATTTGCTGAAGCAACACCCGTGTCTGAAATATACAGGTTGTGCTCCAAAACCCGGAGTATAACAATAAATAGGAAGAGACAGAAGGGTTAGAGGGGAGAGATTGAAATTGAGGAGGGTATGAGAATGAAGGATTAAGAATTGAAGGTGGCATAGATTGCACAATAAAATAAGGGTGGTTGGTATATGATGCTTGCTTATTTGGTTCATACATTTTTTTTCTTCTTTTGGTAACCTAATTCCAAATTTACAGGAAAAACAAAAAATTTGGGAGTTTAACAAGAAATGGATATTGGAGAAATTGTATGTCCTCCAACATATTATTACCATTTTACTGCCAACAAAAAAGCTCTTCAACAGCCTTTGGGTCAGATCAATTGGCCTTTGGGTCAATTGTGAGTGACATACGGTGCTATAACAATTAGTTATTATATTAAAATCAACTTCCCGTATTTGAAAAACAATTTTTGTTATTAAATTTATTTTAAATATCATTCTTTAAAATATATATCCCGTGCATTTTGTATGGGTACACTTTAGTATTCATAACTTGGGACACTTATACATGCATACAATGGATTCGTTGATAATACAAGCCAAGTAAAGGTTAGAATCAATTACTTTCCTCAAAGCTAAGATAGGCAAGATAAAAGTAAGAATTGGATTAGGAAGCAAGGGATAAATAATATTACGGTATCACTCAAAGCAAATAGGAAGATTTGTGATAACAAGTAAAGAATTGATTACTTTTACACTAAACCTAGCAAGGAATCAATTTCTACACATTATTTAAAGAGAACAAGATGCATGAAAAAATTATCACATGCACACCAAAAAAACATAATTAAGCTTGTATTAAATCATTGCCCAATAGAACAAACCAGTTTCAATTTAGTGAACTTCATATTGAATTGTATCACCTCTTTCTCTATTTAATCCCCACAAAAAAAAAAAAAAAAAATGGTAGATTTAACCGTAGATGTTATAAAAGCAACAACCCAATATGTTGCTGCTCAAGCTTGGGAAGAGATAAGTCTTGCCCATGGTTTTGAAGGTCACCTCAAAAATCTGAAGGAAAAGTTCAATGACACTCAAGCGTTCCTACAAGATGTAGGAAGTGCAAATGATGTAGCGAAAAGCGAGCGTGTGAAACGTTGGCTTCAAAAAGTGAAGGATATCACTTACTTTGCCGATAATGTCATGGATGACTACGACTATGAGATTCTACGCAGGGAGATCGAGCAGGGTAAGAACCTCACACGCAAAAAAAAGGTGTGTAATTTCTTCTCTTGCTCGAATAATCCTATAGTTTTCCGCTTTCGGATGACTCACAAGGTACTTGAGATTATTTCCAAGTTTGATGAGGTAGATCAGGAGGCTAAGAGAATAGGTCTCATACAAAGAGATCTAGACAAGGAGGCACTCTTTAGTTATGACGAGAGGACACACTTGGAGCATATTCGGAATAATTCAAGTGCTGAATTAATTGGGAGGAAGGCAGATAAGCAAAAATTGCTCGAAATGATGTGTAGTCATGATGATGATAAGGAACATCTCTCAATCGTTGCCGTCGTTGGTCTTGGAGGTAAATTTTAAAATTATGCAAGTGCTTTTCAATTTGTTTTGCGTTTCATGTAATGCTTATGGTACTATATACTACTTCTTATTACATTCGATCTAAACTAAACTAATTTATTACTGTCATTATCTCGATCTTATAGATTCTTTTTGAAGTAGTTTATGAGATTTTAGCATTTTGAATTAGCATCCTTATCTATCACCAATGCAAGTGCTACTATAGTTATAATACATTTAAAATTGATTTTTAAGTATATCTTTGTTATATAAACCAAGTGGGGGATAGGAGTAAAAAGTTGGTGTCCGATTTTGAACTACCCATAGTACCCTAATGGTATATATTGTTATTTTATTAGTCTAATTAACGAGACCATCAAGCTTAATTTGGGAAATTAAAATAAATAAATAATATTTTCACCAATTAACTTGCGATGCGTGTTATTATTTAAAAAAAAAACCATTTAACCGATCACCAGTCAATTGGATTGAAGGAAGAAAACAACCTGAAAGTTAAAATTACTCCAAAATAATCCAAAGTTGGGATTATTAACATAAATTTTTCTTTAGTTTTATAGGGAAAAATCCGATACAAAATATCAAATATATTGCCCGAGAGGAGGAAAGAGATTGAGAAAATGTAGAAATAATTTATTACAATTTAAATTTAACAAAAGAATAATATTGATAATGTTACCAATAAATTTTCACTAAAAATGATCAAAAGCAATTTTTATGAATGATGCATAAAATATATCGGTCAAAACTATTAAAATCACATGAGACACACTTTGTGCTTATTTAAAGTACTATCCAAAGAGAAAGGGATTTTTGGTTAATAAATTTGTGTTTCCCCAAATTGCCATTCTCAATTTGCAAAAATACTTTTTCACTATTTTTTTCAAAATAAATAAAATAAAATGATAAGTTCATAACTGCTTACAAATGAACAATTTCTTTTTGTTTTTTTTTTACAAGAAGAAAAAGGATTTCATTAAGGAAAGATAGCCAAACGACACTTACAAACAATTCCTAGGAAAAACAGAGTTCCAACACAAGTACAAATCACCTTAAAACTAGATACATCGCAGATTTGATCAACGATCGCCTTAATAAAAAACTTCATCCGAAGCAATACAATCTGTGAGTTAACACTAATTCGGCTTGAGATCCACTGATGAATAGTTGTTTGAGTGAAAATACTCATATAGTCTTCTAGATAGTTCCGGAGATTAAGAAACCCTAAATCTTCAATCTTTGACAGACAAACAAAAAAGAAATTAACCGTAATAGAATAATCAAAATCTCAAAGATGGGATCAATTTATTGAAAGCAATTAAAAAAAATTGGGGCTTACCACCGGTAAAAACACCGATGAAAGCCCCTACAAAGATTCCCAAAAGAGGCTAGAAGAAAAGAGATGAAAGAGAAATTAAAGGAGAAGAGTGATGGAAAACCTTCAAAAAAGCAGAAAAAATCTAGCAATGGAGGCTAGAAAAATCCTCATAAAGGAGAATCTCCAGAGAGAACCAGAGAAAACCCCTCCTAAGGGGAAACCCTAGAGAGTCTCATAGCTTGTTTTTAATTAAATTGTAGTATATGGTATAACCTAATTAAATGATCTTATGAAAGGGGATGCCAATTTATACCCAAATTTTTCTACATATTTGCTCTTATGGTTAAATACATATATTTGAAATACTCATTTGATTTACAGAAAGTAAAACGATAGCAAGATATAATGATTCTTAGTTAATCCTTGTTACATTGTCCTTTAACTTATGTGAGAGCACACCTTTGTGATCATACAAAGAAAACGTAGATCGATCATACATGCATTTAATGTTAGTTTATACTCCCTCCATCCTAATTTAGTTTGTCTTGTTATTAGGGTACATGATTTTTGGTGGAATTTTGAGGATTTTTTTCCAAAGTGAGTCTAATTACAAAACTATTTTGTAAAGTAGACTCGTGGTAAAACCATTTACCAAACTAAGCTTTTAGGGTAAAACGCTGTCTCGAACAGCGTTTTATACTCTGCCTTTTAAAAAAAATCAGAGTATAGACAGCGTTTTACATGTTGACTTTTTTTCTTTTAAAAAAAATTTCGTAATTTTTTATTTTTTTTAAAAAACTTACTCTATAAACTCTGACTGAGTCATCGCTTTCAGTATAAATTTTTTAAAAAAAAATTATTAATTTTTGATTTAATAAAAATAAAAAAAAAATTTATCCTAAAAACACTGACTAAGTCAGCGTTTTTAGGATAATTTTTTTTTAAATTATTAATTTCTGATTTAAAAAAATTAAAAAAATAATTTATCCTAAAAACGTTGACTGAGTCAGTGTTTTTAAAATATTTTTTTTAATTGTTAATTTCTGATTTAAAAAAAATATAAAAAATTACACTAAAAACGCGTTTTTAGAATAATTTTTTTAATTATTAATTTCTGATTTTTAAAAAAATATTTACACTAAAAACGATGACTGAGTTCGCGTTTTTAGAATAATTTTTTTTAAAATTATTATTTTCTGTTTTAAAAAAAATTAAAAATCACGATTTTTTTTAAAAAAAATTCAACATGTAAAACGCTGTCTCAGACATCTACCTGTCTCAGAGATCAAAAATAACCGGAAAAGATTCAAGTGTCTGCCTCAACAATTACTTCAACTCCACCTCCCTAACCTTAAATCTCTGGCACTTGGAAGATTTGAAGAGTTGGAAAGACTTCCTGAGGGGATAGGCACTCTCGAAGAAATGCAGTTATTCTTTTGCACGAAGCTGAGACATCTACCTGCCAAAAAGCATATTCCCCAAAATCTCAAAATAATCGTCATTTACAGTTGTCCAGTTTTGAAAGAAAGAATAAGTGACAAAGATGATGGGCCTGATTCTGGATCTGAATGGAAAAAAATCTCACATGCTCCGTATATTGAGATCGATCATGAAATTATACAAGACACCAGAAAATGATGATGGAGCATGGAGTCTGCTTGGATCATTCGATTAAATCATACGATCGATGAGGCGTTGATGGTGGTGTTGCAACTGATCGAAAATGAAGGTAATTATCAAGGGATTTATTTTATGCTTTGATTTGATTCACATTTATTACTCTTACGTTATTGGGTGAGGAGCTTGAAGTTGGATTCCTTTTAATTTGGGTGTCATATACTCATATTCTTCATATAGTATACAACTATATGACAGCTTCCAACGTTTGTAAGTCGTACTTATAAATTAGAAATGTTAAGTACATCGTCTAATATGATGTTTTTATCTTAATTTATTTTTATAACAGTCAACACACTCATCGACATACAAACTCTAGACCCGAAGATAATCGAGGCGGAGGCTGTGGTGTTGTGCTCACAAATGGATACAAAATTGATTGTCGTAGAAGGAGAATGATGCAAGTGATAAATAAATTCAAGAATTGGACTTGTTTGTGATGGCTCTTGAGTGTAATTTATGAGACAACTATATATGTTAGTTAATTTATTTGTTCATGTTATTTTTAATAATATACATTTGATAATTGAATTGACATCCAAAGTATATGTGGTAAAATATACTCCGGACCTCCGTCTCCAGGTAAAGGTAGCAACAAAAATTACGTTCTTTTAATTATTTATAAATAGATAAATTTTGCATCAAGTTCAATTTACACACATTAACAAATTCAAATAAAGAGAATATTTAGATAAAACAGTAACGCGTTTAAATAAGGTTTTAGAATTAAAAAGAAAAGACCTTAATAATCTCATCAATAAGGGACGAGTATGAGTCCAGAAGATTTATGAATTAGAAAATTTAATAAAGGCCTTAGAATTGTCCACAACCAATATAATGTCAAGGAGGGAAGCAGATAAGCAAAAAAACATCTCTCAACCATTGTCGTCCTTGGGCTTGGCGGTAAATTTTAAAAAAAATGCAAGTGCTTTTGAATTTATTTTTTTTATTTTGCTCTCTTTCCTTTCTCTAATCTCAAATCTTGTTGCGTGAGGAAAAATTTTGATATTTTACAGTGGTTGAAAAAATAGTCAAATAATTCTAAGTAATAAATCTTGGTGAATTATGTATGAAATACGTGATGACAGTACGATTAACTACGGACAATTAAAACTTAAGAAGGTTCAACCGCAATACATAATAATAAAAGAAATATTAATCAATATAGAATAATGCTTGGTACAATAATAATGCTTAAATCACAAAAAAAAAAAAAAAAAAAAAAAAAAAAAAAAAACTCGGTATTTCCTTAAAGAATCACAAATCTTGTAGTCTCAAATTGAGACGATCTATGCACTAAAAATAATAATTGGGACCGCTATTGAGAAGTTCAGGAGGCCCCACACTGAATTTTGATGAAGGCATTTAAGAATACAATGGTCATGAAACATATGCTTGCACTCGCACGCCAATTTTACGATCGATTGTCTATTTAACAATCCTTGTAAACAAATTTTATCTATATCATTGATGTCCGACAACTTATTCCAATACACAAATTCATGGTAGTGACGGGACGTAGTGCCGTACACCCACGGCTTCGAGCACTTCAACCATGGTGGTAATGCCGATAACCCTTAAAATTAATAAGGGATGTCCTAGTTTCTCATGAGTGTGATACAAAAATTGTTTCTTACATGACATTTTTGTAAACCTTCGAAAGCCAATATGATTTTGCGATAAGCATAGTTACTGGCAGTGATCCACGCACTAAACTCGTCCGCATCACAAAGTCTGTCGCCAATCAAATTGATAAAAGTAATCTTATAATCATATATTATCTCAACGACATTATTATACGGCCGAGTAATTTGGTTTCAGGGATCTGATCGATGGTGTGTTTGTTAAAAATCGAACTGTTGTAAACAATAAAACAGAACAATGTTACCGGAATAAGACTGAGTCGCGGACTATGTCGCTCTCTTTAGAACATTCGCGGTACTGCCTTTAATTTGTGCAAGCAGCTTGTACGACAACCGGATGCTCCCCAGGATAAAACAGTCTCCCGGGAAAGAAAATTATACCGATGGATTTGCACAGAACCACCGGACAACTAAACACCAAAATTAGGAACAATGCTCGAATAATTTCTGGAAAAAGATTTCTGAAAATATAAACAGTAAGTGGTTTTTTTTCCGTAATTGGTGTTCTGTTTGTTGTTGTGTGTAAAACCATGAAGGAAAAACCATCAATTTATAGAGGGTGGCAGAATGTACCTGTACGGTTTCAGCAAGCAATTAACGGACAGATTAAAGCAAATAATCGACGTAATTAAGGGCTAAAATCACGTTAATTAACCGTTACACAACAGTCAAAAACGAGCAAAATTGAAAACGTAACAGTTAAAAAATTAATTAGTAAATCAGTTACAAAATCAAGGAATTAATTCTTGTTCAAAAAATTTAAACCCGTTAAAGAAATCCAATCCAATCCAACCTGGCCCTGTTCGGTTCGGCGCGCGTGTGTGTGTTAGATTGGTTTGGTAGGTAAGTCCTTTCTCTCCACAAAATGTGGGTAGCCCAAGGGCCACACCCCTTTAGGTGACACCCACCTATATAAACTAAGCAAAGCTTTCATTTTCCACCAATGTGGGACTTTACCATTTTCACAAAATTCACACTTTAAAACAAATTTGTTCCAACAATCCCCCACTTGAATTTTTTGAAAATATTTTCGAGCAGAATCCTTACATATATAGGTTGTGCATAAACAGAAGTGTTTTCCAACTTGAACTTCTGCGTAGTGAATACGATTTAGATTTAACAAGGGTAAGTCGAAATTTTGAACCCTATCTCTGACAACGTACCACACACTACCTATTCTCGGTGTTTGTCATAGACCCGTGCTATTACGGCCATGCACGTCTATCCCAGTATAGTGAACGTTCTAGAAATGCTGCCACACATTTCATAGGAAGTGGCCTAACTTCCACATTCACATAGGTGAATCTATCAAGAGTACTCCTGTAGCTAGGTACTCCACTCCAAATGGAGTATAGATTTCATTAAGAGTTCCTATTAACTCATCCTTGATCGCTTCAGGAATTTATGTTATTTAAACATAATCAACTCATATCACTCCAAAACTTGTTATTACCCATTGAACCTATTTCTTGGGATCTCCAGTCTATAGGTTGGGTTACCATTATGTGTGACTCATTTTAATGGCAATAGTCCCATTTTCTTAGAAATATCATGGACCTTCTCTCTAGCCAATCCTTTCGTCAAAGGATCGGCCAAATTATTCTCAGTGCGTACATGATCCACTCTCACAACTCCAATAGAGAGATATTCTCTTACAGTGTTGTGCTTACGACGTGTTGTAATAACGGTTATGAACTTTTGCAATAGCCGCGGTACTATCGCAATGGATCAAGACAGCTGGTAATGGTTTTTCCCACAAGGGAATCTCACCTAGCAGGTCTCTCAACCAACCTGCTTCTTCACTAGCTGTAGCTAGTGCTATCATCTCTGACTCCATGGTGGACTGAGCCATAATAGTCTGTTTCTTAGACTTCCAAGATACAGCTCCAGCGGCTATAGAGAAAATATATCCACTAGTAGCCTTAGAGTCATCTAATAAGGTGTTCCAGTCAGCATCACTATAGCCTTCTAGTACAGCTGGAAACCTTTCATAATGTAATCCTAGGTTCATGGTTCTTTTAAGGTATCTCATGACCCTTTCAATAGCATGCTGATGCTCATTACCAGGACAACTAGTAAACCTGCCTAATAATCCCACGACATATGCAATGTCGGGTCTAGTACAATCAGTGGCATACCATAGGCTGCCAATGATGCTCGCATAATCAGATTGCCTAACGGCTTCACCAGTGTTCTTAAATAATTTTACACTGGGATCATAAGGTGTACTAGCAGGTTTACAGTCAAAGTAACCATATTTCTTTAGGATTTTCTCAATGTAATGAGACTGATCCAAAGAAACTCCATTTTCAGTCCTAGTAATCTTAATTCCAAGGATTACATTTGCCTCTCCTAAGTCTTTCATATCAAACTCAGCATTAAACAATAGCTTTACATTATTCATAGCGTGAATATTCGAGCCAAAAATTAACAAGTCGTCCACATACAGACAAATTATAGTGCAAATGTCATTCTCAAATTTTACATATATGCATTTGTCACTACCATTTATCTTAAAATAAACCATGTGAAATGACTAAGTTGTCAAATTTTTCATGCCATTGTTTAGGTGCTTGTTTGAGACCATAAAGAGACTTATCTAATTTACATACTAGATGCTCTTTTCCTGGGATGACAAAGCCCTCGGGTTGGTCCATGTAGATTTCTTCTTCCAATTCACCATTCAAGAATGCAGTCTTTACATCCATCTGATGTACTACAAGATTAAAAACAGAAGCAAGAGACATTAGCACTCTAATAGAAGTTATTCTAGTTACAGGTGAATAAGTATCAAAGAAATCAACATTCTACCTTTGTCTGTAGCCTTTAGCTACCAAACGAGCTTTATACTTATCAACGGTCCCATCAACTTTCAGCTTTCTTTTTAGGACTCATTTGCAGCCAATTGGTTTGCAACCTGGTGGCAACCCAGTCAGGTGCCAAGTTCGATTAGACTCAAGTGATTACATTTCATCATTTACGGCTTCTTGCCATAAATCTGCATCAACTGAGGCTAAGGCTTCTTGGAGGGTAGAAGGATCCTCTTCTACATTGAGAACTTCAAAATCCGGGCCAAAGTCTTTTGCTACTCTAGCCCGTTTGCTCCTTCTTAGTTCGGGTTCAGCATCCAAGTTTTGTGAGTTAGACCTGACTGCAGGAATAATAGATGAGGAAGAACCCCCACTATTTCTAGATTTGAAAGGAAACATGTCCTCATAAAAATTAGCATCATTAGATTCAATAATTACTCGTGCATTTAAGTCAAAGAATCTATACGCTTTACTATTAACAGCATAACCAATGAACACACATTCATAAGCTCTACTAGCTAACTTAATTCTTTTAGGATCAGGAATCCTAACACATGCAAGACAACCCCATGTTCTGAAATAAGAAATATTAGGTTGTTTATTACGAAGTAATTCATAAGGAGAAACCTTACTCTTAGTCTTTGGAATACGGTTCAAGACATAACAGACAATGAGAAGAATTTCTCCCCACCAATGATCAGCAGCACCAGAAATTAAGGAAATAGCAACTACTAACTCAATAAAAGTTCTATTTTTCCTTTCAGCCTTACCATTCATTTCTGGAGAATAAGGAGCTGACCTTTCATGTATGATACCATGTGAATTATAAAACTCTACAAAAGCATCAGTATCATACTCAGTTCCACGATCACTACGTAACCTTTTTATTTGCTTGTTGAACTGATTCTCAAACTCTGTCACAAACAACTTAAACATATCAAAAGCATCACTCTTATTTTTCATCAAATAAACACGAGTATAATCATAACAGTCATCAATAAACGTGATAAAATATCGTTGTCCATTTCTGGTCAACGTTCCA